TTCCCCCTGGAGCTCTTCCTCACCCCAGCCACCGTGTCGCTTCCATCTCCTGGCCCCCCGGCTCCCCTGGGTGCAATGTGACGCAGTTTTACACCTGTGATCTACCCCAATCAGTCCCACCTATGTCGATCTTAACTGAACCATTTTGCTCAAGTACTGTGCTGTGTTAAATGTTGTTTTCAAATTCTGACTGCACATAAGGTAAGTTGTTTTGATACGGGGTTCCCAATGGATCATTTGTTTAGTATATAGGCCGAGGTACCTGTCTGCCACCCTCTTATACAGGCAACAATCAAATAGGATGTGAGCCAGGTCTTCTGCTTCTGCCGCTCCGCAAATGCAGAGATGTCTATTATAGGGTATAGAATGGAATCTCCCATCTCTGACCATTATGTCAAGCTTTTCGAATCTCATTCGCGTAAATATCTCCCTAAAATGTTTTGGCAGTTGTAACTTTAAATAGCTGTCTATTTGAAAAGTATGTTTGTATTTATTCAGCCATTTCAAGCTATCAACCTTACTAAGGATAGCTGTATCATTTTGTGCTTCTATATCCTTGATTCTTTGGGCAGCTCTTTTTTTAGTTTGTTCCCCTGTTACACAAGAGACAGGAAGGCCACATCTATTTACAAAATTTATCAGTGTAGTCATCCAAGAGGTTTGTGATTGTGATTTTATCTGCTCTAGTAAGCATAATTTGGGGAGTCTGTCAGTCTCCATTTCATTGATTTTGTGCCAGTAGTTAATGCTCTGATTTTGGATAGTGCATGAATTGTATAAATTCCCAATTCAGCTTTAACTGCTGCAGCAGATGTCCTTAGATCTACCTGGTTGACTGTTACAGCAGAGCTTGCTTGCTATCAGAGTGGCCCCAGCTGGTTCCCTAGGAAAGAACAACCCTTGACTCCATTGATGTTAGAGAAAAGGTATTTTTACTAGTGATGCTGAGTGTAGCATGAGCAAGGCAAGCTCTGAAGAAAAACCGTGTGAAAATCATATATTGAAAGCAATCCCTCAATGTCCAAACCCCTCCCCTCTGGGAGAATAGTCCAATCAGGTCCTGTTCCAATGTTTTGGGAACCTGGTACTGTAGGTGCTGCAGTAAACTCCTTTCCCAGGGCTAGTGTCCTTGAAGGCAGGAACATAGCTTGGTTTGGCACCTCTGTTTGTTGTCAGTGTCCACACTCTCCAATTTCCCATAGCATACTTTAACGCCTCCAGTACTCTTCCCCTCCCAAATGCCCCCTCCCTCCTGGTTATAGCAGTTGCTAGTGAGCTTCAAAGAAAGTAAAGATGGCAGCTGACAGGTAAAGTTTTTTAACCTTTCATCCTCATAACTTCCCATCAGTGGAAGCATCTTTTCTTGATTTTTGTTGTTTTTCCAGATAATAAGCTGAGAACTTGAACAGTTTGATTGGTTTCTGTCTTTGTAGGCAGTATGTAGAAGATCTGGTAATAGATGTGAATTATTTAAGAGCCTCAGACTGAATTGCCCTCAGAAAAAGAAATGTCATTGAATGAGGGAATGGAGAACTTCTGTAATAAAACACTGACTTAAAGGATGGTGCCATGAAGAGAACCTTGGAATCCAAAACCATGGTCTACAATGGGTGTCAAACTGGATTTCTTCGAGGGCTGGATCAGCATTGTTCTCCACAGGGCGGCTGGGGGAAGGGGGGGGAGACCTAACGTACACCTCCTGCAGCATTTTGCCGGCCAAAATGGGGATAGCAGAAGGTAATGGGCAGTCGGGAGAAAGAGGAATTGCTTAATTCATTCTTTGTATCTGTCTTTGCATAAAAAGAAAAAATAGTCCAATCTAACAAAAAGCAGTACTGTAAAACCTAATCTGTTGATTAAGAATACAAGTAAAAACAGGCAAGAAAATGGTAAAACAACTACTATCCACTCTAGACAAGTTCAGATTACCAAGACTAGATAGATTACATCTCAGAGTTCTGAAGAAGCTGGTAGACCTGATCTTGGAAAATTCAGCCATATCTTTCTCTAAAATCCTGGAGCACTAGGGAAATATCAGAAGACTGGAAAAGAGCCGATGTGGTTCCCATCTTTAAAAAAAAGAAAAATGGATCGAGGAAACGGGACCAATCAGCCTGATATCAATATCTGGGAAGGGTCCTGGAAAAAGATAAGCAATGGATCTGTAAACACCTAGAAACAGGCAGAACTTACTAGAAGCCAGCATGGGTTTGTCAAAGACGGATTATTGCATTCTTTGAGAAAGTGACTAAATTAGTAGACCAGTGAAATACTATGGACATAATATACTTGCATTTCAGTAAGGCATTTGACAAAGTAGACCATCACCTACTTTTTGGTAAGATAGAAAAATATGGGATAGACAGTATCACCATCAGATTGATTTGTAACTGGCTGATCTACAGCACTCAACATATAGTCCTCAATGGAACTACATCTACATGGAGGGAAGCATGCAGTGGGGTACCCCAAGGTTCTGTCATAGGCCCAGTACTCTTCAACATCTTCATTCGTGATTTAGATAAAGAGATAGAAGGGGAACTCATCAAATTTGCAGACAACACCGAGCTGGATAGAATAGCCAATGCTTAGAAGATCCAGAACAGTTTTGATGGATTAGAACACTGGATCCTATCCAACAAAATGCAGTTCAGTAGTAAGAAAAGTAAGATCTTACACTTAGGCAAGAAAACCCTAATCCACAGGTATAGAATAGGCAGTACTGGCTCAACAGCAGTAACTATGAGCGATGTCTAGTAGCCCTAGTGGACAATCACTAGGCCACTGCTATCCTAGGTACATCAACAGAAAGCTAGTAATAAGATCACATGAAGCGTTAGTACCACTTTATACTGCACTGGTAAGGCCACACTTGGAATACTGTGTCCAGTTCTGGCCATTACAGTACAAAAAAGATGTTGAGACACTACAGTGCAGAGGAGATCATCAACTATGATTAGTGGATTGGTAGCTAAAGCATACGATGAACAGTTGCAGGAACTAGCTACCGTATTTTCCAGCGTATAAGACGACGGCGTATAAGACGACCCCCAAATTTTCCTGTTAAAATATAGGGTTTGGGCTAAACTCGCCGTATAAGACTACCCCTCTTCCAACGCACACCAAATAAAAATTAAAAAACATCAACTGGCTAACCCACAATGTAAAAGCAGCTGTGCTAGACCCAAAATGGCCCCTGAACAAGCAGGAACCTCACACAGCCACAAAAAGCCCAAAAAAACAACTTTCACACTTTACACACACACAACACAACACAGCTGGCTCACCCACAATTGTAAAAGCAGCTGTGCTAGACCCAAAATGGCCCCTGAAACAAGCAGAAACCTCACACAGCCACAAAAAGCCAAAAAAAAACCCAACTTTCACACTTTACACACACAAAATTCCACATACAGCTTTGTGAGATTTTGTGTGTTTGTGTAGTTAGAGTGAAACAGTACAAAAACCCACTAAATCTCAGAAAGCTGCACAAATATTATTTTATTTTATTTTTATTTTTATATGAAAGCTAAATTTAAAACTTCCTAAACTTTAAATGGCTAGGTCTAAAAAAGAACAACTAAAAAACCCCCCAATTAACTATTTTTTTTAAAGATCCCAAAGGGGAAAAAAACTTACCCAATAGAACAGGGGTCTCCAACCATGGCAACTTTAAGACTTGTAGACTTCAACTCCCAGAATTCCTCAGCCAGCTTTGTTTTGCTGGCTGAGGAATTCTGGGAGTTGAAGTCCACAACTCCCTGCCTGCTTGATTGCAGGCAGGGAGTGGCTTGCTGATGGAATGGATTCAGGCAAGCGAAGCAAGGCAAGTGTTGCGACTAGCAGCTAAGGTAAGCAAGCTGGAGGGGGAAAACTTTTTTCCTTCTCCATGGCTCTGGCGATCCCAGCTGCGTTGCCTGATTAGCAGATCGTCAGGGCTTGGATCGCCAGAGCCATTTAAGGCTCGTCAGAGCCTTTCGGGCTGGTCTGCCTGGTTACAGGAGAACGACACCCGGCGTATAAGACCACCCCTGACTTTTGAGAAGATTTTCATGTGTTAAAAAGTCGTCTTATATGCCGGAAAATACAGTATGTCTAATCTAATGAAGAAAAGGACTAAGGAGTGACATGATAGCAGTGATCCAATGTTTGAGCGGTTGTCACAGAGAGGAGTGGGTCAGCCTATTCTCCAGAACACTTATGGGCACAACAAGAAGTAATGGATGGAAGCTTATCAAAAGAGAGCCAATGCAGAACTAAGGGGAAGTTTCCTGACAGAATAGTTTCCTGGTTTCCTGACCAGTAGAACAACTTGCCTTCAGAATTTGAGGGTACTCCATCACTGCAGGTTTTAAAGAAGATACTGGATAGTCATTCGTTCAAAATGGTATATGGTCTCCTGCTTCGCCAGGGGGTTGGACTGTTATTCTGTAATTGTATACTCTTGAGTAATTCCTTCTTGAAATCCTGGGAGCTTTTGCCAATCAGTGACAAGGCAGCTTCCTACAGGCTTACCGTACCTGTCAGAAATAGGTGGGATAAATTTGCTTCCACTACAGCTGTGTCAAAAGTTAGCCGCTTTTCCTTTAGCACCTGCTTATCCTAGAAAGCTTTTTATTCAGAAAAGCATATATGAATGGAATGCAGAAAGACAGGTTTGGGAGAAAAGATTCCATGTGTTGCTGTTTGCTTTGTATGCATGACTTACCTGAATTATGAACCGTCTGGCTGATTCATTGAGTTCTCCAATTTTCTTAGGGCTGATTGTGTAAGAATGTAAAAAGAAAACAATGTAAACAATGCCTTCGTTTCTCAAATTCCTAGATACTAGGCTAATTTTTTTGAGTACCTAGAATCCAGTTATAAACGTGATAATTGTTTATATTGATTATAGAATAAACTTAATTCTACTTTTAATTAAGTACTGTTGTTATTTTAGAAGATTAAAGAAGATTTTTAAAGTTTTAAAACAATGTATTTTCTGTTCTTGTCTTACATAGCTTTACATGTGATACCATCAAAAATGAGGCTGAGAACACGGAAAGCTTCTCAGCAGTCAAATCAAAATCATACACAGCGTGCATTGAGAGTAAAGAGGAAATACTCAGACGTGGAGGAGAACATAACCGTTGGTGGAGGAAAACTTCAGAAAAATGAAACCGGTTTACTATCTTCAATTAAGAAGTTCATTAAAGGAAGTACCCCAAAGGTAAATATTCAGGAACCTCTGTTACATTTTGACATGCATAATATATCTTCCAAGATAGCTTACAAAAGCAAACATTTAAATAGCAATCATTAAAACATTTGGAATAAAATCAGTTGTAAATCTATTCGGGGAAACATGTGAAAAAGCTGTCTGAAGACAGCAAGCATTTTCCAAAGTATTTCAAGTATGGCTCAAGAAGTTCGAACACTAGTTAATGCCAGGCTGATGCCTCCTAGTAAAAGGTCAGCTTTGAAGAGATGCTGGTTTCTTAAGTTCCTCTGCCGCATCTGCTAACTGATGGTTTGGTTTGTTGGCTGTCACGTCAGCATCATCATTTTGTCCAGAAACAGGTTGGTAGCCCTTGTGGGATCAGTATAATGCCACCTGGTTATCTGGCCCCTACAGGATGCTCTTGTTTTCTGAGCTCAGCCAGTTCAGTTGATTTGAATTGTATAAATTCCAGTTTTTCCCTTTTAAGAGAGCAGTAAGTACTTGGCTAATCTAAAAACCAGTTGAGGGAACAAAAAGAAATCAAAGAAACCCACTGGTGAAACTAAAGTCAAATGTGGGGAACTCCCAGTCATGCTTTATAGTGCATAAGCATTGCAGTTCTATCGGAAGCAGGCGCATTGCCCTGATTTTTGAAGGAATGGTTATTATTGCAGCAGTGTGTGTGTGTGGGGGGGTGTTTATTTCAATTGAGAGGAAATAGATTTATAAAATCAAAAAAAGGGATTCTATAAGGAAAACAGACTAAAGAGCAAGTTCACTGGATGAGAGGCAACAAGAAGCAAAGGTGTAGAACAATGTTTCTGAACCTTGGCAACTTGAAGATGTATGGACTTCAACTCCCAGAATTCCCCAGCCAGCTTTGCTTTGCTGACTGCGGAATTCTGGGAGTCAGAGTCCACACATCTTCAAGCTGCCAAGGTTCAGAAACACTGATGTAGAAGATATTCTGCATCGCTTGGAGATAGTTTTGAGGACCCTTTAGGAAAAACAGCCTTTAAGGGAGAAAGCAGAAAAATGCCACAAGAGAGAGAAATAGGACAGTGAATTTCTGAAGTGAAGCGGGAAGGCAGTGAGCGTCTCATTAACGCAAGGTAGTCCTCGACTTGCAGTAGTTCATTTAGTGACTGTTCAAAGTTAAAACAGCACTGAAAAAAGTGACTTATGACTGTTTTTCACATGACCATTGACAGCATCTCCATGATCACTTGATCAAAATTCAGATGGCAACTGACTCATATTTATGATGGTCACAGTATCCTGGGGGGTCACATGATCCCCTTTTGCAACCTTCTGAGAAGCAAAGTCAATGAGGAAGCCAGATTCACTTCACAACCGTCTTACTAAGTTGACAACTGCAGTGATTCACTTAACAACTGGCAAGAAAGATTGCAAAATAGGGCAAAACTCACTGAACAAATACCTTGCTTAGCAATAGAAATTTGGGGCAAAGCATAGCAGTATAATGAATTTTGAAGATCTTAAAGGAAGCTTAGGACTCTGTTTCTTAGGTGGTCTTCCTATCCATTGTCCTGCCCATAGAAAAGTCTCAGATACTGTATTTTTCGGAGTATAAGACGCACCTACCTTTTTGGGGTTTTTTTTAAAGTTTTTTTTTTATTTTTTAGACAAACACACATACAAACATAAAATGTATTTTCTTTGAACAGAGTATTTGGCTGGTTCACAAATTTAAACTGTTTAGTCATTTCAATTAAATTTACAATTTCTATATTTCCTTTTTGCCATATTTATTCATCTATTTTTTTAAAAAAAAAACAATATTAGCCTTCATTCTCATCTCTAATCTTAATCAAATTCAATTTTTTCCCTTCTATTCTATATTATACCCCTTCCTATTATCATCTATTTTTACATCCATCCTCACATTGATTATGTAATTATCATCAATGTGGGTTAATTATGTAATATTACAATTTTTTAATACAAATTCAACATTTTAATATAAATCAATTAGTTATATAACTATCTTTGTATATTAATCAATATGAACATGAATATTCCAATTATTTCCGTGCAATCCAATTTCTTACAAATCAATTAATTATATTTAACAATAATAATAAACCAAATAATTTCCCCCTCTTATGTTACTCATTTTCACATCTTAAACTCTCCCAATTTTGCCCATATAATCCTCCAAATCACAACTTAATCATTTCTACTTTCATCACAATATATAATTAAAAATATTTCAATCATTACAATTTCCCTAATTAAATTTAAAAATGTTCTAGCTGTTATCCAAGCTATAATTTAATCCTTTTTACTTTCACCACCATTTACCATTAAAGGTATTTCAATTGTTACAGTTTATACTTATTCATATTTCTAAAAAAAAGAAAAACTTATCATTGTCTAGATTTCAAAAATACAAAGACAAATATTCCAATTATTATTCATTTCATTTTTACAATCATGATTTCCCATTTATTTCTTATTACTATTCATATTTCAATTCTAAATATGTATAAAATTTTTCTCTCTCATTTTTCTTTTCATTTTTCTTTTTGCCTTTTTCTTTCTCCTTTTTTTCTTTTGTGTTTTAAAATCTTGAACTCTCCTCTTTTGCCCTAAATTTCCCATTGTTTGCACCTATCTTTTTTGGTGAGGAAAAAGAAGAAAAATAAATCTCGCTCTGCCTAATTTTGCCTCATTGCAGCAAACAGCCTGCTTTACTTTCAGTTTCGCTTTCAGCATAGCTTGATTAGCACAAGGGGGAAAAAAATCTGCTCCAGCATATTTCTCTTTGCAGTAAGCAGCAGAGCTGTGTCCAAAACAGCTGAGAGCAAATCAGCTGAGAGTCGGGAGGCCAATCCAATCAACTTGTGCTAATTAGTCTATGCTGAAGCTGAAAGGAGCTGTTTTTTCTTGCCGTTTGCTTGCAAGGAGGTAACTGCTGCGAGGCACAGGCCAAAGGATGGGGGCCGGTGGGTGGGTGGGGCTACATTTGGTGTATAAGACGCATCTAGATTTTCACCCCCTTTTTGGGGGTAAAAAGGTGTGTCTTATACTCCGAAAAATACAGTATCTTCTAGATGACTTGCAGGAAATGTTGGAGTTTCCAAAGTACAATAATAGGAATGTTGGAGGAAAGTGACTATGTAAAGTTGCAACTTCTTTATTTAAGGGAGCCCAAAGCTGAATATAATTGAATGCATATCCTAATTAAAAAATCCTTTTAATAAACTTAAAATGATTATAAATAGGAATTCCTTTCCAAAGCAGCTATGGATAAAGGAACCCAAGATAGGTGAAATTTCCTGTGTAAAGAGAAATTAAAATCATAACTGCAAATTACATAAATTATTAAGGAACAGATCACTAAGGAAAAATACATTATTAAACTGGGATTGAAGTAATGACTAAGGTTCAATCTTTTTTCTTGGACAAGACAACCACCTGGCTGGAGGGGACAGTCTTCTTTTCAAAAAGTAGAAAAAGAAAGAAATAAAGATCATTCAATCTGATACCAATAGCAATAGCACTTAGACTTCTGTACTGCTTCACTGTGTTTTACAGACCTCTCTAAGCAGTTACAGAGTCAGCCTCTTGCCCCCAACAATCTGGGTCCTCATTTTACCCACCTCAAAAGAATGGAAGGCTGAGTCAACCTTGAGTTGTTCAGAATTGAACTTCTGTAGTGAGCAGGAAGTTAGCCTGCAGTACTGCATTCTAACCACTGCGCCACCACAGCTCTTATAATTCCCAATACCTGGGAAGACTCTAGAGCAGGGCTGTCAAACTCGTGGCGTCAGGGCGGTGTCATATGATGTATTGGGACTTTTCCCCTCTTTGCTAAACCAGGTGTGGGTGACGAGTTTGACAGGCCTGCTCTAGAGTGATCATAAACAATGCAGTAATTATTATAAATCAGTGTGGAATGGGTTGGCTCTTTCAATTCAAAATTTATATATTGAGATTAGGTAAATTTCTTCATACGTTTCATATATTGTGGAAATAACATAAGAGGAAAATCTTGATTTCATGCAGCCATTTGATAAATACTCCATGACATTTCAATTAGCAAGTTAAATTGGAAGCGGATGGTACAGTAATTTTGAAAACTATTCACAAATAGTATGTACCAGGTATGAACTGGGATGCCACAAGGTTCAGCCTTGTAGTCTTTAGCATTTCTGTTAATGGTGTGGCTGAAAAAGTGGAAGGAGTTCTCGTATAATTTGCAGATGAAATAAGATAAAACACAGTAATATTAGAAGAAACAGAAATAATCTTGATAGAAAAATAAAATGAAATTAACAATGAAACCTAAAAAAAAATGTTTAGGAAATTGTCCCTCTGCTAAATCTCTCTACGGGTGGAACAGAAAAAGTGATCAGTGTGGCTGACATTTAAAAATTGGGCAGAGTGATTTTTCTATATAGAACATATGTTTCTTTATTTTTATGGGCTTGGGAGTTTATTTTTGTCTTTTTCTGGCATGTTAAAGCAGTGAAAATAATGGAACAAATAGTATAATCTAAATGGGAATTTAAATTTGAATTAGGCTTGATACGTTTTTTTTTCTTTTATGACATATTTTTGCCAAAAGCCTATGAAGTGAAAAGGGTGAAAAAAAGATAAACGTTGGAAATTTGATTTTCATGAAAGCAGTACAAATGGACAGAGAAAGTTTGCTAGTAACAGTAAGGTATAATTTGGTGTATTTGTTTTGTTAAGGATGAACGAGAACACCCTGCAAAGAGAAGTAGAATTGAACGTGACATAGAGGACAACTTAATTACATCCACTCCCCGAACAGGAGAAAAGCCTAATAAACAGCTTTCTCGAGTTAGGCGGAAAAGTCAAGTGAATGGAGGTTTGTAAATATCCCAGTCTTTAGCTGAAAGGGGGGCTTTGGTCCTTCCGCCATTGATTCTTTTGACCTTGGCTTCAGAGAAGAGAACGATTGCAGAACTGCTGATATGTTACTTTAAACATATTTTCCTTATTGTGCAAAGTAATTTTCTTAAACATCTGAGCTAAACCATGATGCCCGGTTTGTGGATTGGAAACCAATGCTTAAGAAAGTGATGTCTCCAGAGCACAGATAAAGAGAACTGAATACTCAAGAATTTCCTTTACACAATTAATAGGATAACTTTCTCTTTCGTGAAAATGGCCTTCCCTGTAAAGCAGTGGCCCCTAACCTGTTGGGCACCAGGGAAAGATTCTGTGGAGAGACGTGTGTGTGTGTGTGTGTGTGTGTGTGCTTTCATGTGCTGCCTGCATCCCGCGGATGGGGCTTTGCTTGTTTGCGTGGCCCAGTTTCTGGCATGCTGCCAGTCCACAGACCGGGGGTTGGGGAGCCCTGCTGTAAAGGAACCCTGCATTTTTGCTTTGCTAACCATATAAGCAGTTCTACTACCTGCAGCTCATAATTACCTATTAACAGTTACCTCTCATCACAAACCAATGTAATAAGCAGTATATTTATAACAATATGGTGATGAAAAAGAAGACGATACCAATGTCAGATTGATTTACAAATACTTATCTATGTGTTTATTTATATAAAACTTATTGGCTGCTCATTTTACCTCAGGATAACTCTTAGCAAATATTAAATATTAATCATTTATTTTATTTATCAAATACAGTAACCGGCCATCTCCCTTTCAGAGGGACTGATCATATGATCTGAATTAACAATTTACAGTAAAACATCTCTGCTGCAGCTTTTAGCTCACTTCCTTAAATTATAATATTCCGTGTGTTTCTTAAAGATTTCTGTATGGTAAAGTCAGCGGGAGTTTCCCAGACTACAAGTTAGCCAATTGTGAATCTTCATTGCCTTGGAAACCATGAGCCATGAGAGTATCAGCCTTGTGGACATGCCAGCTAGGGCATGGCTTTCTAAGGTTTAATTCCTGCAGTACATTTGTGCTCATCCAGGAATCTGATGTTTAATTGAAACTTTGTCACTCCAACCTATATTGGAAAAATCACACTAGAAACTTAGTGCACTTTTCTGTTTGTCTGTTCCAGAAGCTGGGAATTATGAAATGGCAAACCAGCATGTCCGGCAAAATGGAAAATTGGATGATAATCCTACCACCTGCAGCCCCCCAAGGACTACATTATTGGGGACCATATTTTCTCCTGTCTTCAATTTTTTCTCACCAGCAAATAAAAATGGCAAGTACTACACAAAATTGCATTTAGCTCTTAACATGCATCTAAAACAGTGACCCCCAACCTTTCCATCTTGGCAGCCCGGCCGGGGGGTGGGGAGAGGAGATGGTTCTGTGTGAGCAGCAGGCACGTATGCAACTCCATTTGTGCATGCAGCGGGCTCGTGCCCCGCGGCTCACAAATGGAGCGGCGCACATGCTCTCCCACTGCTTCTGCAGCCCAGTTCCAAACAGGCCGAAGCTCAGTAGTGGGCCACAACCTGGGGGTTGGGCACTCCTGATCTAAAAAAATATAAAATTGTTATTATGAAATAGTTGTTCAGAAAAAATGATTGTTTCTGTTTAGACCTTAAATCTAGAGACAGAAGAGCAGGTGCAAATGCTCCTCTAAAGTTGAGAGCGCTAGTATTAAGCCAGAGCTTTATTGCAGGAACAGCAGGCTCGGATTCTCCCGGCCAAGCTGTGGAGGCTGAAGAAATTGTGAAGCAGCTCGATATGGAGCAGGTGGATGAGATCATTACCAGCACTGCCGTCTCAGCCAACGGAGGAGCGCCCTACGCCAGCCAGGCAGCCCAGGTCCGAACGACCATCAACACCGTCTTGGAGGAAGTGGAGGATGTGGCTGACTGTGATCTGCCTCCACTGACTGGTAAGGAAGAAGCACCGTTGTTGGCTCCAGCCTTGTACTTCTCCCCCAGCCTGCAGGTGGGGCAGCCGGAGAGTCAGGAGACACGGCAGCCCCAAGCTGTTCGGAGCAAAGAAAACATTTGGGCAAACCTGTCCTACTGCTGATTGAATCCCTTCACTGTTTTATCTTAAAAATGCCTCGAGTCCTTAGGAATTCAGCAGTCTAGAAATGGGATTAACAAATGATAAATAAATTGTTAATTGGAAATCCTCATTATTTATATCTACAGGTAGTCCTCGACTTACAACAGTTCATTTAGTGACCATTCGAAGGTACAATGGCACTGAAAAAAGTAACTTATGACCATTTTTCACACTTAAGAACTGTTGCAGCATCCCCTTGGTCATGTGATTTACATTCAGATGCTTGACAACTGACTCATACTTATGACGATTGCAGTATCTCAGAGTCACGTGATCCCATTTGCGACCTTTGGACAAGCAAAGTCAATGGGGAAACCAGATTTACTTAACAACCGTGTTACTAAGTTAACAATTGCAGTCATTTACTTAACAAATGTGGCAAAAAAAATAAATTGTAAAATGCAGCAAAGCTCAGGTATCAAATTTCTTACTTAACAACATAAATTTTGGGCTCAATTGTGGTCGTAAGTTGAGAATTACCTGTACTCACTTTACTTGAGCATGAATGAATTCCGACAAACAATTGCCTTAGGCATTATACTTCATCTACACATGTGTACAAACACTACTTCAAAGCCAAGGGCAGAATCACTGGCTAATAAGAATTTAACTTGATAATATTGTTTTCTGTTTAAGGTCTGTATTTATTTACTTAATGGAACATTTATACCAGGCCAATCAGATGACTATCAAAACAGAATTTCACAATACAAAAGGACATCATAATATTGCAGTGTGAAAGAAAACAGATAGTAACCATCATCCTTAGTAGGCACTTAAACAGCCAAAGGTTTGGTTTAAAAAGATTGATATTTGACTCTGTGAATAATTTTTATCATGTCGGTAACTTTCATCTATGACAGACAACACACTTGTGAAATTATACCTGGCCCTCACTGCAAATATTCCTAACCATTTAGAGCTTGATACGTAAAATAGATATATCTATTTTAAGAGTCAAATTATAAGCCTTAAAGATATTGATAATAGTTCTTAAGAAAAGTGAAAGACAAAACATTCCATACGAAATAGAAATATTTTAGTAACTAAACGATCAACTTCACTGTTAAGAGAAAACTTCCCTTTTCTCCCTATCAACTAATGAGGAACTTTTGTGTTTTGTCAGCACCGGTCTCTCCAGACAGTGGTTATTCATCAGCCCATGCAGAAGCCACCTATGAAGAAGACTGGGAAGTCTTTGATCCGTACGTGTGTGTGTAAATAAATGAAAATATTTATGATAATGAATTCAGCTGGTGCCTGCTGGCAGAACAGTAGCTAAGATTGGCCCTCTGTAAAACCAAAGAAGGGAGAAATAGCATACTTGAAGAGCCCTAAACCGGGGGGTGGGGGGTGGGAAGAGAAGAGAGAGAGCCAAATATTTACAAGGGAACAACCATAGAAAAAGGAGTGTTGGTCTAGGTAGTTAACTTCTGTTTTCAGAAGCTCCAGTTCTGAAAACAGTTCCTTCCCCAGCTAACTGTATAATTATATAGTTCGTTTAGTAAATCTGTGGGTAGATTTATTGTTATATGTGCCTTTATCATAGTTTAAGAGTAAAGTGTTCACTGATAAATGAGCAAACCATGATGTGATTCATCTTTAGGTACTACTTCATCAAGCATGTTCCACCGCTAACAGAAGAACAACTTAATCGGAAACCTGCTCTTCCATTGAAAACCAGAAGTACGCCAGAATTCTCGTTAGTTCTAGACTTGGTAAGAAAAGCATATTTGGTTGCTTGCTTCACTTTTGAGGGAAAGATATTCTCTCTTTGGCAAACTGTAAATTATAGGGCTATTTCAGAGAACACATACTTTTCTGTCCCTCTGCTAAATTGACTCATTTTTTAAAACTATTTGTAGGATGAAACATTAGTCCACTGTAGTCTAAATGAACTGGAGGATGCTGCACTCACGTTTCCAGTCCTTTTCCAGGATGTCATTTACCAGGTAATCCAAATCATGTTAAGGTGAAGTGGCTCCTATGAAATTAAAGAAAAACATTATGTATCTGATATCTTTTTGCTCTCCTAAAAGGTTGGTAATTTAGTGGCATTGGTTATATTCTATGAAATATTGTTAAGCAAGCCATCAGATCTTAGAGGAGTTGTGGCATATGGATTACTACTTTGACACTTTCCATATAATTCCATTGTAAAACTCTTGTCCATTAGGTAGCTAGAAGTATTCCTCTTAAGCAGCTTTCCTCCTTGCCTGGAGGTGACGAAAAAGGCCTTCTAAATCTGCATGGTTATTTGATAAAACAAGAGGTTCTTAAGGGGAAGTCAGCCTTGGGAATGACTTGCTTTTAGAAGTAGATCCATTCCTTCGTTCCTAGTTAGATGCTGTTATGTGGCCAGAGTTGCTTTGTTGATGAAGACTGACAGATTGCTAGCTGTTGGTTGTTGTGCTTCGCAACATATTCTTTGCTCTCATCTACGGTGCATCCAACAATTCTGCCAGTGAAGAACAGGGGAAGGAGGAGAAGAAGGAGCTTTTATTCCAGCAACTGCCAAAGATGCTGCACTGACCCCGGCTGTTGTTCTCAGGTCCCTATTGTGTGATGTACCTGGGAGTAGCAACAGCTTTCCTCCATGTAGTTCGCACGATATTGGACCCCTCTGTAGTAACTTTGGAGAATGACATCAGACATCTTAAACGGACACTTGTCCAGGTATTTTACCCTAATTTTAAAATTTGTCTTTTGTCTTTTGTTTTATTTACAATCCTTCAACATAACATGAGATCTTCCAAAATACATACAAACGTGGGTTTCTTATCTTCTCTCTGATGATGGCCGTAGTCAGAATCCTCTTCATTTCCACGCACTTAGAGAATGTAGTTACCCTTCTGGATAGTAAGAGGAAGAACAATACGTGGATTAGGCCTTTTTTGTGTGATAGCTAGAATGTTTTTTGATCTCTTGCCTGTGGTGTATATTACTCAGAATAACTATGTCTTTCTGGGGTTATTTACAAAAAAAATACTTATTTTGAAATAATAAAGAAATGTAAAATTTGCATTTGCCAGACCCTAAATCTTGTTGGAAGCATATCTTTGATTCTTGGCACCTTTTTTCTTAGTAAGTGCAGGCCTTGCACCATACAACCTAACTTGGATATTCAGGGACATTTTTCTGGGAATGTGCTCTCCAAACCTCCAACCTGCTTTCATCTGGGGCTTCTTAATCACTTCCCCAGAGTAAGATGCAATTGTGAATGCCTCAGAACCGGTCCCAATGTGTCATTGTGGAGCTCAAGACAAGTGGTCGTATATGGAAGCCATTTTCTGAGTCCCTGTGCTTAGGGCAGGATTTGTTCTCATCTAAGACCAGAGTGAGCACTGAGGATGCCTCCTGGCTGAGTTGGGGAGGGGGATTGCATCAGTTTGGAAAAGGCCCAGCTCAATTTCAGATCTTCCAGTCATATCCTTTTAACTTATTTTATCTGAGTGTCTTGTTATTCTTGTTAACTCTTGAAACATCAGCTTCAACATTTTTAGACAATCTGAAAAATGGTTCAATACAAGAAGAAGAAATGTCAGCGTTTTTAAATAAGTCTACAAACACCCTGTTGCAAATGCATTTATTTCAGCAGGAGTCTTGAGTAACTGAGCTACTTCGTTAGCTGCATCTTGCCTTTAATATAAATAATAGTAGCAGTGATCAATCATAGTGCTAAAGTATTGCACCACTACAACCTGTGTAACCAGAGAGGAAGGTGCAATTGAGAAATGACCTCCCCTGAGTTGGTAGGGACGGAGTGTGGTGGAAGGTCTTCAGTTTTTTTTCATGCTCCCCAAGCAGTATTGAATGTATTAACAAGAGTGGGTTGACTTAAAGTTCTTGATCATGAATTTCCTTTTTTTGCTCTCTAATATGCCTTTTAGAATGATTACGAAGGCCAAAGTTGGTAATTGAGAAGTATGTAGCTATTGCTTAATATGAATGACTGATATCAACAAAGAATATTTGTAGCTCATGGTTGACATGAGGGGTCCTGGGTGCTCTCTGAACTTGGTTGTTTTCTTGCAGATGTTTCATTACCCAAACTAGGTAACATCATCAGTGTTGGTAAGGAATGGGGCTTGCTCTCAGTTTATATTCTGGTGGCTTGCTCTGTTGGCGTTAGTGGGGGTGGCCATTTACTTATTTACTTATTTGACAGGTCCTTGATTGGGGTATTGTTTGCTTCTTGATTGTTGGTTTGATGTTAATCTTGATGTTAATCTAGTCTCCTCTGAGTTTTGATTGTTGGCGGGGAGGTGTTTCAATCTTTTTGTTCCGTTTCAGGCTTGTTAATTTTCCCTTTTGCACAATATGTAGATGTTGTCTACAATCAAGAATCAAAGAATAGAATGGAATGGAATAAGAATAAGAATAGGAATAAGAATAGGGAGTTGGAAGAGACCTTGGAGGTCTTCTAGTCCAACTCCCTGCTCAGGTAGGAAATCCTATACTACTGATGGCTAATCTTTTTGTCATCGCATGCCAGGAGAGGGGGGAGAGCCGCACGCGCCTGCACGTGCAAACCCCACCCCCCCCCCCCCACTCCTGGCACATGCTGGCCTTGTAGGCCTGTTTTTCTTTCTTACCTGGTTCCAGATCCTCTCTATTTATCTGGGAAGGGCGAAAACAGCCTTTCTCACTCTCTCGGAGGCCCTCCAAAGGCCTGAAACAGCCCATTTCCCAACTCCCGGTGGGACAGGAAGTGACTTTTTTGCTGTCCCCAGCCTCCAGAGCCTCTCTAGGAGCCTCTCTAGGAGTCTCTAGGAGCCTCTCTAGGAGTCTCTGGAGGCTGGGGACAGCAAAAAACGTAACTTTCTGTCCCACTGGGAGTCGGGAAATGGGCCCTTTCAGCCTCCGTAGGGCCTCCAAGGGAGTGGGAAAGGCTGTTTTCTCCCTTCCCAGATAAATAGAGAGGATCTGGAGCCAGGTAAGAAAGAAAAACGGGCCTTCCCCCCCACCCCACCCCCCAGGCCCTCCAGAGGCAGGAAACAGTCTGTTTCCCTACTTCTGGTGGGCCCAGAAGGCCCAAAAATCAGCTGGCCAGCGTGCGCATGTGCCCCAGAGCTGAGCTGGGGTGTCCACTAATATGGTTCCACATGCCACCTGTGGCACGCGTGCCATAGGTTCGCCATCACAGCCCTATACCATTTCAGTCAAATGGCTGTCCAATCTCTTCCAATGTTGGAGCATTCACAACTTCTGGAGGCAAATTGTTCCACTGATTAATAGTCCTAACTGTCAGGCAATTTCTTCTTAGTTCTAGGTTGCTTCTCTCCTTAATTAGTTTCCATCCATTGCTTCTTGTCCTGCCCTCAGATGCTTTGGAGGATAGGTGGCAGCCCCTCACATACTGGAAGACTGCTATCCTATCACCCCTAGGCCTTCTTTTATACCCAGTTCCTGCAACCGTTCTTTATATGTTTGAGCCTCCAGTCCCCTAATCCTCTTGGTTGTCTTCTCTGCACTCTTTCTAGAGTCTCAACATCTTTTTTATATCGTGGCAGCCAAAACTGGATTCAGTATTCCAAGTGTGGCCTTACCAAGGCATTATAAAGCGGTATTAACATTTCATGTGATCTTGATTCTATCCCTCTGTTTATGCAGCCTAGAACTGTGTTGGCTGAAAAGGTTCCGACTAACAAGCCCAAGCAAATTGGAACTCTGAAGCCAGGCACGTCCTCAAAGAACTTCTGTAAATCATATCAGCATACTTGGTTGAAAACCAACTCTTAATCTTCCCTGTGGTTTCAGCATAATTAAAATTAGGAATCAACCCTTCCCCCCAGTGTCACTGGTGATTAAATTAATTGGCAGGCTCCTCGGGCACTCTTTTTTTTTTTTTTTTTAAAAAATTTTTTAAAAAAAAAAATTTTTTCCCTTTTCCCCCCCCCCCTTTCACTCCCTAACCCTCCCTAACCCTCCCCTCCTCCCATGACTTCCCCAAGGTCAAATCCAAATCCAAATCGTATTGTGTCATCATACTTTACCACCCATCTATTCTACCCCCTGTGTACATACGTTCCTTGGGCACTCTTCTCCCTTTCCCTCCGTCACCTAGGAGATGGCCTTGGTTCTCACGAGAAAGTTCAATGTTGTGTCTAGTAATGCAGTCCAACCTCCTCCCCCCTCCCATACAGTCTGACAATGATGAACCAGGAAAATGGCCTCTAGCAGATTCAGTTCAGTATTGACATTGGCTTTTTTTGGAACCTTAATTTTTTCACCATTGAATTTCATTTTGTTAGATAGTGCCTAATGTTCAAGTCTGTCAAGATCCTTCTGTATCTTGAACCTATCTTCCGAAGGGTTGGCTATTCCTGCCAGCTTGATGTCGTCTGCAAATTTGATGAGTTCCCCATCTATCCCCTCGTCCAAGTCATTGATGAAGATGCTGAAGAGTCCTGGGACTAAAACAGAGTCTTGGGGTGCCCCACTACATACTTCCCTCCTTGTAGATGCAGTTCCATTGAGGGCTACATGTTGAGTGCGGTTGGTCAGCCAGTTACGAATCCATCATGAATTAATGGTCATGGACAAGAAATTTGCTTTTCACACTTTATAATTAAATACAGGTAGTCCTCGACTTACGACCACAATTGAGCCCAAAATTTATGCTGTTAATTGAGATATTTGTTAAGGAGTTTTACGACCTTTCTTGCCACAGTTGTTAAGTGAATCACTGCAATCAGTAAGGTAATAACCTGGTTGTTAAGAGAATCTGGCTTCCCCATTGAAGGTCACAATAGGTGATCACATGACCCCAGGATACTGCAACTGTTAAAAATATGTTGCCAAGCATCTGAATTTTAATCACATCATGGATATGCTGCATAGATCATAACTGGAAAATGGTCATAAGTCATATTTTTCAGTGCCATTGTAACTGAATGGTCACTAAACGAACTGCTGTAGTTGAGGACTACCTGTAATGCCTCTTTTATTCTTTGGACCAATTGAGTTAATTTACTAATACTTGGCAGAGGTCTTCAGGATGAGATACTGATCTCTTGCCTTTCAAAGTGTAGGGACACTTTGAAAGGCAAGAACTATTTCCAAGGGCCTTAGCTAGTTTCTGCTCAGCATTTCACCAAAACAGAATTGGTCTCTTGTGCTTTCTTAAACAAGGCCTTCTGTAGGTGCTTGTCAAGGGGAAAGAGTCTTGAAGTTTTCACAGCCAAAGTAGACTCACTGTTTATTTGTATTTATTGTGTGAGTGGTGCATGCGTGCAAATATAGTCCTAGGACCTTTTATATAATGATCATGATCTCAACATCTGATGCCTAAGAATAATATTTCTCTTAAACTATGTCTTTGCTGGTGACTTTCTGGTGGAAAAGGTAGACAAGAAAAAGCGTTAACTACATAAATTAATTCAGTTGAGTTTTGGGAAAGCAAAATTCTGTTTAGTGAAGTAAAAAGAGCTTTTCCTGGGAATTCTGCATTGCTTGGATATAAAAATGTTGTTTCTGATAAAAAGGACTTGTCGGATATGTCCTTGTGGGTGAACTAATCAGTCTGATGAAAGTTCTGACTGAAAAAGAATCTTAAATCTCAAAAGAGATTTAAGAAGAGCCTTGGTAGTACAGTGGTCTAAGGCACCCTGTTATTAAGCTGGTTATTAAGATCAGCTGCCTGCAATTACTGCAGGTTCGAATCTCGCCAAGGCTCAAGGTTGACTCAGCCTTCCATCCTTTCTAAGGTAGGTAAATTGAGGACCCAGTTGTGGGGGCAATAAGCTGACTGTATAAATATACAAAAGAATGAAAGCTATTGCTTAGCGCATTGTAAGCCGCCCTGAGTCTCCGGAGAAGGGCGGCATATAAATCAATTTTTTTTAAAAAAAGTGAACTGTTGTAAGTCGAGGATTGACTGGGACTCCAAGCCGCCCTTTCTGAAGCTGGCTGGATATCAGGACATGGCAGATACGGCCCAGACCCCCTGGTGCCCTTATGGGGGGAGTGGAGTTGTGTGAATGTAGGCTGCCATTTCACTCAGCTGAAAGTTCTTCTCTCCCCAAAGGTTCGCCTTCTCACCGGTATTGGCAGGTACAATGAGATGACCTACATCTTTGACCTCAAATTTTTTTAAAAAAAGTGCATTTATGAAATATTATCTCTGTTGTGTTTCTGTTCTAATAAACAGAATGTTCAAAGCAAAAGGGCTACCTCCAAAGGCTATTATAGCTATGTCTTTCTACAAATATACTAGTTACTATTACTTTTTCATAGATTCTTAAAAATTAAAATAACAAATAATGTTAATATATTAAACAGTGTGCCGTACTCTGTAATTTCTGAAGTCTCTGCCATTTGAAATAAATCGTCTTTGTGTTCCATAGTGTAAAATTACTGTTTTGTTCTCTTTTTAGGTTTATGTGCGGTTAAGACCATTTTTCAGAGAATTCTTGGAATGTATGTCCCAAATTTATGAGGTAATGCAACATGCTTAAAAATTTTGTGTGATACTCAAGTTCTTTACTTTTTTTGATAGTGTGGATTGCAATTGCCTCTTTCTTTCTTTTAGATCATTCTTTTTACTGCTTCTAAAAAGGTCTATGCAGACAAATTGCTGAATATATTAGACCCTAAAAAGCAACTGGTCAGGTAAGCTTGAATAGAAAGCTGTTACGTATTATTTACACTTTAACCAGAATAACAAAATAAGTATATTTAATGCTCTTTTAGCATCACAGTAATGCCTAATATGTAGTGGGGATAATAAGCTGCTAACAGGCCTGCTGTTAACATGACTTCGCGTCCTTAAAAATGTTCAATCTGAAGTTATTATTTTTCACCAGTATCTGACTAAACCCTGCAGTATAACTTTAGCCTGTAATACTCCTTGACTTGATTTCTGCTTTTCCTCCACATACTAGAAATTGCTTCAGGGAGGCTGGCCAAATATCCTTACTCCCAGCAGACACAATATTTCAAGTTATGCAGGCCTGAGAAAAGGCTTCTTTGCTTTAAAGTGTTTGTCACTGGACTAGATCCTTGCTCCTGCTTGTCCAAAGACTACCCAGCCCTCATTAGGAGCAGGTCCATTCTATAAGTGGACTGCAGCTAATTCTGACCGATAGGTCCTTTGCTTTATGTCCCCCATACACTTTCAGGTTTGTTCAATGTAATGAGAGTGTAATTTGGAAGAGAAAAAACAGCAAACGGGTGTCAGGGCTGGTTTGCTTGAGCCCCTAAGCTAGGACCCTATTCCATTGCCATGGCTAGCCAGCTGAATCCTTTAATTGAGAAAGAACTGATCTTGGCTTTTTAAATCTCCTTTTTAATAACAAAGCTCTGTTATCCAGAAGATTGTCCTTAAATCACAGGATAGAGGAAGGGTTTTTGACTACAGTATTTTCTTGATCTACACCTGTCTGAATGCAACCTAAATGTGTTCTTAAATGTAGGCATCGACTTTTCCGTGAACATTGTGTTTGTGTGCAAGGGAACTACATAAAAGATTTAAATATCCTTGGTAGAGATCTCTCAAAAACGATCATCATCGACAATTCACCACAAGCCTTTGCCTACCAGGTGAGTTTATTTCCTGTAGGTCATGTTTTAGATTTCGCTAGAATACTAAATAAAGTCTCCTTCAAATCATTCTCTGCATGTTGATTTTTTAAAAAAGGTTTTTTGCTATGATACCAAGTGTGCCCATAACCACTGGGACCACATAATTTCTTAGCTTCAGTGTTTAGATATTGTTACTTTGTGGTCTTCTGGAATTTTTTGTCTTATTTTTTATTCTACTATCTCCTGGTATTGCCGCATCAATTATCCACACTTTCTTCTTTTCAAGCACATTGTGAGCCAAGATTTTATCAATTTGTATTTAGAATACCATATACAGAATAACAGAGTTGGAAGGGATCTTGGAGGTCTTCTAGTCCAACCCTTTGCTCAAGCAGGCGACCCTATACGATTTCAGACAAGTGACTGTCCAGTCTCTTTAAAAGCCTCCAGTGATGGAGCATCCAGAACCTCTGGAGGCAAGCTGTTCCAATAGTTAATAGTTCTCTGTTGGGAAAATTCTGCTTGGTCCTAGGTTTGATTTCTCTTTGTTTAATTTAATTTAATTTAATTTAATTTCCAATTTATATACCGCCCTTCTCCCTGAGGACTCAGGGCGGTGTACAGCCAAGATAAAAAACATAGAATACAAATATTAAAACATTTAAAAATATATATAAATTTTGGCCCGAAAGTTAAGAATCACAGACTAATTAAAAGAATTTTAAAATTTTAAAAATTTCTTCTTAGGCCAACCCGGCTTGTTGAAAAAGATGGGTTTTCAGGGAACGACGGAAGGCATTGAGGTCCTGGATTCTTCTTATCTCCGGGGGCAACTGATTCCAGAGGGTGGGAGCCCCCACAGAGAAGGCCCTCCCCCTGGGGGCCACCAGCCTACATTGTTTGGCTGATGGCACCCTGAGGAGGCCCTCTCTGTGGGAGCGCACGGGTCGAGCTTTCACCTGTGACTTCTTGTCTTGCCCTCAGGTGCTTTGGAGAATAGGTGGACCCCATAACACCCCCTCAAATATTGAGAGATTGCTATCATGGCCTTCTCTTCCTTAGACTAGGCCTGGGATGGCGAACCTTTGGCACGCGTGCCACAAGTGGCACACAGAGCCCTCTCTGCGGGCATGCCAGCTGTCACCCAGCCCAGCTCTACCCTGCATGCGCGCCCGCTGGCCAGCTGGTCTTTGGGTCTCTGGCATGCATGCGTGGGGGTGGGGCACATGCAGGGAGTGTGCACATGCAGGGGGAGGGGCCGCATGCGCAGGGAGGTGCAGGTTGATGCAGGAGGCTTTCCTGGCCCAAAATGGGGCAGGGGGTGGGGCGCATGCGCAGAGGGGCGCTCGTATTGCAGTTTGGGGGTTGTGGCATGTGTGCTTTGGGCACTCAGCACCAGAAAGGTTAACCATCTGGACTAGGCATTCCCAGTTCCTGGAACTGTTCATCGTATGGTTTAGCTTCCAGTCACCTAATCGTCTTTGTTGCTCATCTGCACCCTTTCTAGAGTCTCAATATCTTTTTTATACTGTGGTGACTAAAACTGAACCAAGTCTGGTCTTATCAGTGCAGTATAAAAGCAGTATTAACACTTCACGTTTTTGATACTGTTTCTCTGTTGATGCAGCCAAGACTGCATTGGCCTCTTTGGCAGCTGTAGCACACTGCTGCCTCATATTTAAGTGGTTGTCCACTAGGAATTCTAGATCCTTCTCACAGTTACTATTATTGAGCCAGGTACCACATATTCTGTCAAGGTACCACATATTTCTGGATCTCACCTATCTTCTAAAGTGTTGGCTATTCCCTCCATCTTGGTGTCTGCAAATGGATTATAGATTAGAAGAAGTTGAACGTGATAGAAGCGGCTTAGGATGGGAAATGGATAAATCAGAATTTTACTTAAAATGAATTTCCCTTTTATCCCTTCATCTAAATCTTTTTATGAAGATATTAAAAAGCATTGGGCCTAGGACAGAATCTTGTGGTACCCCACAGCATGCCTCCTTCCATGTTGGTAGAGTTCCATTAAGGATTACATACTGAGTGTGGTTGGTTAGTTGGAAATCTTGCAAAATTTTAGCCTGCTTATTTTAAACTACTTTTTCAACCATATGTTACCACTAATTTTTTATTATCTGTACATGATAATTGTCATAGATATTTCAGTGAATCATTTTGGTGACTGTTACATCGTTGTTTTTAATCAGTTTGTGAAGTTTTCTTGCATGAGTTGAGTACATAATCTACTTTTTCTTCTGTTTCTTTTTCCATTTTTTATACTTATCTTTTTGTCAGTTTATCAGAGAGTTCTTTATGCCACCATGCTAATTTCTTTCTTGATTTTTTTTCTTTTTCAGCGGTATTTGGTGGACTGGGCTTTTATAGTCACATTTTTCAGACTTTCCAAAACTTCTTGAGTTGTTTTCCCCCTTAAGATTTTCATCCATTGAATCCTTCCCAACCCTTCCCATTCCCTAATTCCTTGTTTGATTGATAATCATGGGGTTTGGATGCTTAGGATTAGGTCCTAAAGGTCCTAAAGATTGGTCATCCTCCCCCTTCAGTTTTAGTTTAAAGCCCTTCGGATAAGCTGAGCCAGTTTTCTGAATACATTCTTCCCGGTTATTGTGAGATGCAGCCCATCTCTTGCCAGAAGCCCTTCAGGTTGGTTGTCCCCAAGGTGCTTTTTTCCAAGAGGCAACTGGACAACCATGGCCTGGATGACTGAGAATCTCCCTAGACCTTCACGTTGGTAGTACAGACAGTGGTCTAGAAATTCTAAGTTCTTCTGATGGCACAATCCCTTTAGCTAGCTTTATTTTTGTTCCCTTGTTGGATGTTGACCTTTTGTTGGAAGTACAGATGAAAACACCACCTGTGCTCCTAACTCCTTCACTTTCTTGCCAAGCTGCTCATAGTCTTGATACTGTTTTCAGGTTCATTGTCGTTTCATTTGTCCCCACATGAATGAGACAAAAGGGAGAGACATCTTTCGGCTGGATTATTTTAGTCAGGCTCTCAGCCACATCTTTGATTTTCACTCCAGGGAGGCAGCATACCGCCCTCATTTGATTGTCTGGTCTACAGACTGCTCATCCTGTTCTCCTTTGTTGAACATTGGAATAGGTGTCAGAGTTTTTATTTCCAAATGCGAAATTTTGGGTGCACCTTCTTACCCTGAATATTCTTTTATGACCATTTGGCATAAATTAAGCATGTTTATGTAAATCAGAGGTCTTCAAATTTAGCAGCTTTAAGCTTGTGGACTCCAACTCCCAGAATTCTCCAGCCCTTAAAGCTGCCAAATTTGAAGACCTCTGATGTAAATGATCACTGCCATCTGTCCTGAGCAAAACAAACATGTGCAGAGAGGTTTTCAATTGTTCTCCCCACCCCACCCCGCCCCCACTTCACATTTGGGAAGAGTTTTAAAACCTTGAATTAATGAGGGAACTGTTGAAAAGGAGATCTTCTCTCTTTCTAGCAACTTATTTTACCTCTTTTTTTTTTTCTGATTTAGCTTTCAAATGGAATTCCTATAGAAAGCTGGTTCATGGATAAAAATGACAATGAACTTCTAAAGTTGATTCCTTTTCTGGAAAAACTTGTAGAACTGGTAAGTATTCTTTAAATATATTTTTTCTTCTTAAATCTTCATAGATCAAAATAGCACAGTTCAGGATCCCGTTTTTTGACTTAGGAAATACCTTCAGATGTCTTTGCATTACGTGATACCTTCCTTTAGAGAGTGTCTCTCCCTTTTATAGCAGCACAATTTCCCTGATCTGTCCAAAAATAATATGTTCAAATAAAACTTTTCCAGCCTCTTAAAGGTGAATCCTCTGAAAGGTCAAGCAAGACGATGTTTTGTAGAGCTTTTAGAGTACAGGTAGTTAACTTACAACAGTTCAGTTAGTGACTGAAGTTATAACGGCACTGAAAAAAGTGACTTATCACTGTTTTTCACACTTATGACCCTTGCAGCACCCCCAGGGTCACGTGACCAAAATTGAGGTACTTGGCAACTGATTCACATTCATGATGGTTGCCGTGGCCTTCTGAGAAGCAAAGTCAATGAGGAAGCCAGATTCACTTAACAACCGTGTTACTAACTTAACAACTGTGGTGATTCATTTAACAGCTGTGACAAGAAAGACTGTAAAATGGGGCAAAATTCACTTAACAACTGACTCGCTTAGCAACAGAAATGTCGAGCTCAACGGTGGTTGCAAGTTGAGGACTATCTGTCCATACTCAATGTATGAGTGAACTTTTATTTTTTTAGAATTCACATTTTAATCAGAATTATAAGCATGTCGACTAGAGCTGAAGGTTTCATAATGCAACCTCACAGAAGTATCTCCACAGAAAAACATTTGGGGCTTGGAAGAGGTCTACAAGTGTTTGTTAGCCATTACGTGGAGTGAGATCACAGAGACCAATAAAGCCACATTTCTTGACAAGCCTGAGTTTGAATTTGGGAACAATTAAAGCTGGTGCACACTGCTAATTGCCAGTAGGACTAACTTCACTAAATAGAAGTTCAGTAAGAACTTGCAAACATTTCAGTAACCAAATTGAAATCGTTACAGGAATCGTGGTTTGGAAGAAAATGTAAATGTAAATGTAAGATATTTTAGCACCCTGTGTCTTGTTTTCTTTGAATGTGGCGATCGGTTGAAAATAAAGGCCACGGGGTTTCAAAAGCTGTGGAAAGGAGTTCCACAGGCTCTGACTCTCTGCAACAAAAAGCAATAGTTTCTGAGCTCGCTTCTATTTCCAAGGGTTGTTATCACAAATTAGCTTTACTGTAATCCATGAAAGATGGTAAAGTTTTGTTTTGCTTTCCCCGTCTCTAGAATGAAGATGTTCGACCTCACATCCGAGACAGATTTCGCTTGCATGACTTGCTACCCCCTGATTAAACTCAATCTTTGGTCAAAGAGCTGAAGGGAAAGAAAATGCAGGATCTTTTTTCTTTTTGGACTAGAACAAAAACATTGCCATTACTGTTGAAATTTTTGCATTTTTGTACCCTTTCTCGCTTTTCTTATCTCTGGTGCCCAACAGTAATAAAAGGGTTACAGAAGAACTTTCTATATCGCCAAATGGAAAGACGTGCAGTATAGTAGGTAGGCTAGAACAGAAGAGTCTTTAGATCTAGTGCAACTCCCATAATTTTTAATGTACAGAACAACACCTGCCGTTTTTAGAGAATTCTGTTTCTGCCACCAGCAGTTTATCCTATAAAAATACAGGATTTATGAAATCACAGAGATTGAAAATGGACTCTTGTTTTCTCTCTGTTTGGTGCTCTCTAAGTGGGTTTGTAGCCACTTTGTGTTACTTTTAAAATTCTCATTTCAACAGGAATGGCCAGTAATTTTTTTCCTGTTAAGGTTTATAACCTTTTTACGTTTTTGATCTGTATTCAATTTTAGAATTTCATTATGCATTCCTTTTAGTTGAGGTGACTTCATATTTTTCTGGGAATAGCCAAGTTTTATTCATTTTTATTATTAGATTGAATGGCCATTTTCCTGCTTTGTCTGCCTGCATACTGTATATTTGTTTTTAAAAATCATCTAGTTTTATTCTGTGTATGATCGAATGAAAATATATACATATATATATATATATATATATATATATATATATATATATATATATATATATATATATTCATTCATATTCATTCTCTAATATTCTACTGTAGTGGAAATCTTTTTTTAAAAAAAATCAAGAGACTGGCTAGATAAGAAATATAAAAATTACTAATATGCAGAATATTTAAACCATCGTGATGGCATGTACTTGTGAACAGATGACTTCTTGTGTGCTGTACAGCTGAGAGAGCGAGCGAGCGAGAGCGGTGCCTCAGTCTCCTGCCCGTAGGAGTCCTTGAGGATTTGTTTGGTGTAATGCAGCTCAGTTCCTGCCGCACCAGGATCTCCACAAATGAGAATAGGAAGAGCAGTCAAGCCTTGCGTGGGTTGGCCCTCTATCCTGCAGGTAGCGCCAGTCAGTTTGAAACTTTGGTGTGGCTTCGTCTGTGCGCTACCGTCACCCTGCCTGCTCTTGTGGTCCTGGACACTCCTTTGCTGCCAGCGCAGCTGATATGCTATCATAGTGGTTTTCTATATTATTATATGGAAATAGTTTTCAAGCCTTGGTTCTCTAATGCAGGTTACACAAGAGGCTGATATTTTTTTAATGGCGCGTACTCTCCTTTTTTGGAGGCTTTTTATGGAAGGGAAAAATTTGTAGAAGTTAGTAAGCTTTGCCTCGAAACCGCATAGACAGGCCACAGGCTTGGGCTGTTTTTATGTAAAGGATGCTGCAGAATGGCACTTTTTCTAAAGAGAAGTTTGATATTTTGTATGCTTGTTAAAGAAAGAACAGTATTGGAAATTAAAGGTGGACAACTGATAATTGAGAAGTATGTCAATTAATTTTTTATGTATATTACCTGTTTACTTGTACAATTTTATTGTACAAACTACACGCAGCTTCATTTTTGAATGAGTCCTTAAAATAAGGAAAATCTTTTTAGGAAAACATTTAATTTTTGTATTTTTTTGATTTTAAAAGGCATGAATTATATCAACTTTTTCCAATGTATTAATGAAGATTTTAACTTTTCATCAGGTTGAGTGTTTTCTTACTATATTATCTGTTATATATGTAGCTAGCACATGTGTCACTGAACTGTTAAAAAGTTAGCATGTAGAGCAAGCCTGCTTTATGGGAAATCATTATTCATTTAGCACAGAATTATGGTGAATTTTCTGTGAAAAGAGAAAAAAAGGCATTTGCTATCCAGAATGCTGACTTTTTTTTGTATTTAAAGAAAGGTATTTTGCTTGCGGGAAAATGCTACAGATTCATTTTAATGAGAATCTTTGAATTGTATTTATCTTTAGGGCATCTGGGCATCTTTACGCTGTTTTGTCTTAAATGTCTTTATTGAAATAAAATGTACATAATGTTACTATAATATATATAAATATATATAAATATATATACATACACACACACACACATTATATATAATGTAAGTAAGCGTGTGTATGTGTGTTTTCCCAGAGGTGATCCCTGTAACCACTTTTTCCTGTTTTGCTAGTAACAGCTTTATTGATCCTTTTGATTTTGAAAATGTTAAATGCTCTCAAAGCTATGAAGTGGATTATCATCATTATGAGCAACGTAGGAGTGTCTTTGACTCAGATTATTTTCGATTTAAGAGAAGGTAACTCTAGTAATAATTAGTCCAAGCTGCTCCTCTGTGGCTTCTAACGATGATAGCTCACAACTCTTTGCCAGTGGTCTCCAGAAGGTAGCTTGGGCCCATGGAGAGGCCAAGGGGCTCCTGGTTCGTGTAGAAAGCCACCCCATTCATCTTCCCCAGCTTCAAAACACAACTGAAGAGAAGAACTCTCTTCCGAGGAACGGCGGATGCAGGCCCTGTGGAACTTTGGGGGGGGGGAAGCGAGCGAGTGCGTGGTTTTCTTATTACGGTAGTTTGCTATGCTGCATTCAGAGATTATTTTCTGCAAATCCACTAATGAGTAAATTGAACAGCAGTCCTTGCCTTGAACAATACAACGGACATTTCTCTGTTATTTCAAGGGAATTGTACAGCATCTTTTTAAGAGTAACTTTTTAAAGCAAATGTGCGTTTTCATGAACAAAATTAATAAACTCAGCTGCTTTTTGTTAAGGTGGAATACTGCAAATAGCAACAGCGATCCCTGAAGAGAGGAGAAACAAAAGGAACGTGAGGTTTTACAGTCTAAAATGATTGGTAATGTGGGTAACTTAATCCTGTCCTATAGGACAACCAAATCAACTGCTGCAGGCTGCTCTGTAAATACTTATTAAACTATCATTTTGTAATTTGGTGCAAGTCTGGTTTTTAATTCTCAGTAGAAAAGTAAAATCGTTTGATAAATGACGGTTCAGTCTTTTGTATTGGAAAGCTGGCCAAGAGCGACGGAGACGCAAGGATCGTGCAGAAGCCCTCGGTACAGGCACGGGCCTAGTCCTGCTTCTACGGGAGGATGGCGACCCGGGCCTTCCTGGCATAAGTGGGGGAGGGACGGCTGCCCCAAGGGAGAAGCGCTGGGGGTGGGGGGGCTTCTGGGGCGCCCAGGTGGCCAGCAAGGGGGGCGGGGGGGGCTCGGAGGCTCTTCCAGGGAGGGGCCGGCGCTGAACAGCTCCCCCGCCCCCTTGCCCGCGTGGAAGGCGGCCCCGCCCCCGGCTCGCCCAGTGGGCGGGCCCAGGCCCCGCCTCTTCCGGAGTCGCTGGCGGAAGCGCGTCGGGGAGCGGGGCGGAAGTCCCGTCGTGCCTCGCGCGGCCCCTCCTGCCTTCTGGCCTGGGCGAGCCGCGAGCGAGAGGGCGGCGGGCAAGATGGCGGCCGAGGCGGACTCCTGGGGTAGGTCCGGCGCCACCGCCGCTGCCCCCTCCCTGCCTCCTTGCCTCCCTCCCTTCGGCCAGGCCGGCCCGGGCCCTCCGCTCACCCTTTCTCTGTCCCCGCAGACGCGGACACCTTCGAGGCGCCGGACCCGCTGGCCGGGCGCCTCGGGCCCACTCCCGCCGTGGTGACCAGGGACCGCTGGGCCGGCGAAGACGAGGACGACGACGTCAAGGTGGCCGGGAGGGGGGCGGGTCGGGGCGGCGGCGGCGGGGGGCCCGGGGCCTTTCCCGGTGCGTTGGGGGAGGCGGGCGGGCGGGCGAGCGGAGGCCTCCCGGCGGCTGACCGGCGCTTCTGCTCTGCCCCGGCCAGGACAACTGGGACGACGAGGAGGAGGAGCAGCAGCAGCAGCAGCAGCAGGACGAGAAGGAGGCCGAGGCCAAGACAGGTGAGCGGCCGGGCGGCGGGTCCCCGGGAGCCCCGCGCCTCCAGCGGGAAGCCGCCGCTAACCTTCCGCCTCTCCGCAGAATCCAAAGTTTCCGACAAGAAGAAAGCAGCCGAGAAAATAAAGGAGCGGGAGAAGCTGCAGCGGAAAAAGCAGGAGGAGGCGATGAAAAGGGTAGGGACGGGACGGGACGGGCCTCCCCCTCGGGCCTAGGCGAACGGGGAACGGCCCGCCGCCTTTCTCCGGCGCCTGAGCGGGCGCGGCGGGCTCCATTTCTGCTTTGTCTCCCCTTTGAAGTTAGAGGAGTCGGAAGACTCGAAAGAACTGACGCCGGAAGAGCAGTTAGCAGACAAGCTCCGGTTGCAGAAATTGCAAGAAGAGGCAGACCTGGAGTTAGCAAAAGAAACCTTCGGTGAGTGGGGAGGCAGGGCCGGCAGCCGCTTCCCTTGATTTGGCACCTGCCTTGTTCCCCAAAGCTCTCCAGCCAGAGGGTCTCATAACCCAAAGCTCTTTTAGGTCCTCCATCAGTTTTAAGACTGTCAAGGGGTCCCCAGACCAACCTGTTTGAGGAGGAGGTGTCAGCTGATTATTTTATGCGCTTCAGCAGCCCTTTCTATACACTGCTCCTTTCTTACAGGTGTAAATAACATATGTGGAATAGATAGTATGAATCCATCCTCAAAAGATGATTTTACGGAATTTGAGAAATTGTTAAAAGAAAAAATAACACAGTATGAGAAATCCCTATATTATGCTGGATTTTTGGAAACCTTAGTTCGAGATATATGCATTTCATGTAAGTACATTTAGTGAAATACTACTGTTTGCACCCTGCTTAGCTTGGAAATAAAGGACATATTAGAAAAATTCTCTAGTGAAATAGACTAGGCTAATGGGATTGTTATTTAGTAACTCGATCTGGAAAAGGTTTTGTAATGTCTTCTATGTTCTATTTTAATACTGCTAACATAGTAGAACATTCCTTCCACAACCAGCCTATCTGATCATCTATTTATCTTACAAGAAAAGCACCTGGGTGATTCCCAACATGTTCTGCATTTTCCAGAAATATCTAAATTATTAGGTCTTTAATTCAGGATCATTTGGAGTGAAAAATATGTTCAGTTTCCTAAATAGTTAAATCATATTTAATATTTCTGTCCATTTGGTTGCTTGCAATTTCAAAGCTTTAACCAGCTACTGTATTCTTCTATAAAGATTTAGCCAGACCACTTCATAAAATTAAAATAACTTCTAATAACTTGTATTAAAAATTTCTGTAATATAAAATTCACTGAAGAGAAGAAAGGCTTATCCAATTTAATATATGCTTTTAAGGTCTTTTTAAAATGATGTATTATAAAGTTTAGGACTATAACCTCAGAATGGCCTTATTAAATACTGTTTTTCATTGGGAAGCTAGGGGTGTTGATAGCCCTCCATTTTTTAACTTTATTACAACAGAATTGAACCAATTAACTATTGGTACCCTATATGGACATTCACACAAATTGTTCCTCGTTTTTCCTTGATGCTTTATAGGCTACAGTAATCTCAAATCGATAGCAGATGTTAAATGTGTTGTAGACAGCTATACTTCTCAAATATTTCCATCAAGTCTTTTGGATATTTTTAAATGTTAGGAAAAGCAGCGGGGAAAGAAGGCATACTTCTGTCTACTCAGTTAAATGAATATTTGTTTTAGCACTTAATATTTTGCAAGGTATGATCTCTTCGTTTGAGAAGAAATCTGGCCAGGAGGGCATTTTGTCATCTTGTTCTGGTTTTGGGAAAGGAGCAGAGCCCAAGGGGCAGCTCTGTCCAAAGGCCTGAAGGAGCCGGGCCAGGCACTGGGAAGAGCTGTGATGTCACTGGGGATTTCCAGGGGGAGGGGGAGGGGGGCTGTCTGGCCTCAGGAGCCTGTGGAGTTACAGTTCAGGTCATGGGAGGAAGATTGCCTGAGGGGAGGGGCTGTTGAGTAAAGGCTGATTTGAGACACTTATAAGCTGCTATGACATTTTGAACAAATTGATGGACTGTAGAGAGGTCATCTTTGGCATTCAGGAAAAAATGAACATTTTAAAATTATTGCTCAACTCTGGATTTTAATTTTTTTCTATGAGCAACATAGCTAGCCTTAGTTTTCAGTGAAGAAAGGTAGGCTGCTCATAGCAGGGCCAGGCACTGGTTAGACACTCGGTTCTGTGCTTGAGGTCATAACCCGGATATATGGTGGTACAGCTGTGGTGCCTTTTGCCTACCCATAAATTGCCAGCTTATCTGCATTTTCCCTAAACATATTTTCCCAGGTATTCCAGAGATTTTCTTGTAATGTAAAATTCCTTTGCCACCCTTCTTTTTGGGGCAGAAAAAGCAAGCTGTAAATAATCCCTCCCCTCCTTGTTCCTCCTTTAGTGGAAGTCGATGACTTGAAAAAGATCACCAATTCCTTGACGGTGCTATGCAGCGAGAAGCAGAAGCAGGAGAAGGTGGGTTGGTGGGAGGGAGGGGGAAGCCCTTCCAAGCTTTGGCAGCCACTATGATATTCGGCTTGACCTGGGGGAGGAGGGGGGAATCAGTGGCTTGTGCGAGAAGGCACCTGGCAGCTAATGTAGCTTCTTTCTACTGGCTCCATGAAAACATCTCCTGCTCCTTCTAGGCTTTCTACAACTAAAGTACCACTTTTTGTTTTATTCTGGCAAGCTAGTTAGTTGCTTTACACAGCAGTCTGTAAACGTTGATCAGGATCCTGATGAAAGTAAATACTCCATCGGGTACAGCATGTCAGAATAAATGCAAAGGGTTTTTCCTTGATTTAGTACCTTCCACACATTCTGGATTTCAGCTTTCATCAACCCTGGGTAGTTTCTTGGGGGTGTGGGGGAGGAAACTAGCACAGTGGTTTGTAAGGGAACTGAGGCTGGCTTTCCCTTTTGTAGCCCAGGATTGTCGAGGTCCAGTTACGTTCTTAAATCTGAGCTGTTCCTTTTTCTTTCCAGCAAAATAAAGCCAAAAAGAAGAAGAAAGGTGTGGTGCCTGGTGGAGGTCTAAAAGCAACGATGAAAGATGACCTGGAAGACTACGGTGGCTATGATGGCGGCTACGTACAAGACTTTGAAGACTTCATGTGACCCGTTCTTTCCGTCTGTTGGTTTGCCCAAACTCCCCTAACTGTAGCACAACTCCTTTCCTTTCAATTCTGCCAAATGCAACAATCAGAAAGTGCAGTATCTTTGTGCTGTTGGTTATCCTGTCACAACTTGACACATTGGAATACCAGTCTTGATGCCGAGGGAATAAAATTATGAAGCTCAATTATTTTATTCAATGATAGGAAATAACGGAATATCGAAAAGGTGTGTCTTCATGGCAGCGAAGCAGCACTAAATTGGACATTAATTTTGACCTGGCCGAAGTCGTATTATTACCAGCAGAGTTAGTAATAACAATCTTAACTCTATCTTTTTTACAAGAAACTACCCAGAAAACAAAGGCAGTTTGCAGCAAATGCATGGGTTTGCAGTAGTATTAAAATGGCTTTTCTATTAGAATTTGGTTTTTCAGTGGCTTGAGGGACGTAGCTATAACTCTTCCCTGACTTCCAAGCTTGAAAGGGGCAAACGGGCTGTTTTTCTTGCCCTGGGAGGGGGAAGGACCTCCTCTGAGCAGGTCAGCTGATTCTTTGGGACAGTTTCTTGTCACCCAGTTTGGTGGCTCTCACAAGACTGCGGTTTTTTCATGCATAGGAATCCTGCTTAGCAAACTGCAACAGTTACAATAGTTGGGCAAATTGTTATGTTCAGAATTATGAGATCTGCAAATGTTTTATAAAAGCAACTAATTTAATAAAATCACTATTGTGAGGACTGAGATTTTTGGTCAGCTTGTGCTTTTCCCATGGGCAATAACCATTGCTGACAAGGGACCAAATTGCCAAGGGAAGGCGGCGGCTCTTCTCTCAACCACTCAAGTGATCATGTGGATTGCCTGGTTCTGGCCACACCCTCCCCTCTTCAGTCAGGCTGCCCTCCATTAATAGCCAGTGACTGGAGATTCCTCAACCCCCCTCCCCCCCCCCCCAAAAAAACCCCAGTAATTTCTCAAGACGAGCAAAGCCAAGCATGCAAGTGGCTAAATTGTAATTCTCTTTTAAGGACTCTTTTCAGTCAGTAGCCACGACCATGACATGGCTTCCAAACTCCATCCCAATGGTTCTGGGGGAGGGGGCAAAAAGCAACAGGGAATCCTCCTTTACTGCCATGGCTTCCGAGGGCAGGATGCCTAACCAGCCTTGGCTATTTGATCTGCGCTTAGCCTCCTCTCCCCATATCTAAATTGTCCACCTTTTCCCCCCACTTCAAATTAAACAACACCAGCATTTTCTGGTTCTTTGAGCCATTCATATATGCCTGATACATCCTTGCACACAGCTACCGGCAGAAGGTGGAACTGCCCACCTTTGCAAATTCCTGAAAAAGTGACACAGCTATAATGCTTCAACTCAAAGCTCCAAAATGGGGCCAAATTCGCAAAGCCGCTCTAATAGGTCCAAAAATAGATCTGGAAAAGCTACTTGTCTTCTGATATAGAAGAAAAAATAGTTCTGAAATACTCGCAGGTCAAATCCAGATGTTTTGCTCTCTGGCCACAAGATCATTCAAAACTATCTCTAAGCTTCAGCCAAGGAAGTTGGTCTTCAATGTGAAGTTCCTTTAATCCAATGGCAGCCGCGCTTCAGTCTGACTTCAGAAGTCAATATATTTGACACACAGTCCCAGATTAATAATCCTCTATTTTGTGCAGTTCACATCATTTGAAAAACAGCATCTTGGGTGATCTTTTCTTTTTCCTCTGGATGACTGAAAACGTAATTCCCTGACTTGCTTTTTTTCTGGCTTGTCTGAACTTTGTTTGCAGTTCTACTTTGCTCAGCCAGGATGATCTAATTGGCCAGCAAATCGTTGAGGCAGCAGCCTGTTTGGGCGTCATTCAGGAGCATGTTCACCACATCATAGAACTGGTTGTCATAGGCGAGCTTGTAATAGACATAAATGTCCTCGCAGTAGGTCAAGAGCTTCTTCAGGTTTCTTACGGCAGACTCGTTGGCTGCGTGCTGCTTGAACCTGAAAGAGAAGGAAGGGCTGTCAGCTAACGGAGCCCACCCTCCTTCCCTCCCCAGCTCCAAAAGCTTCTGCCCCATCTCCTCTTGGCTCCTGAAGAGGGAAACACGGAAACCACATGCCGTCTTCCACGCTGCATGGAAAGGCCAAACTGGGTGGCAGAGAAGACTCACTTGTGGGCGATCTCTTCGAAGGTGCCCGTCCTGAGCAGCCCGTGCTGCTTGTGCTCCTCCAGGTAGTTGAAGTCGCCCTTCAGGATCACCTGCTGATAGAGCACCTCTGACCAGTCTGGAGCGAAGTCATAGGCCTCGGCCACCACGGCTGCCTGGAGAAAGAGGGAATCCCGGGGCCCCTTTGAGCCACAGCCTGCCAGTCCCCAGCCTGCTTTCCCACTGCTAGGAACAGTGAGTGGTGGTACCCAACGTCCACTGAGGCTTGAGGAAAGCCAGAAAGCATCAGACCTTATCCTGGAACTGAAAACTGCAGCAACGTAAGGGAGCGAGGAAACAAACCTCAAGAGCTTCTTGTACAGATAATCCTCGAGTTATGACAGGTCACTTAGTGATGGCTCAAAGTTATGACATATACAAAAAGTACTTATGACCCCGTCCCAAAGTTAGCGTGTTGCAGCACCCCTGTGGTCATTCATCTTTATGATTGGACCTGGGACCGACTGCAGAGACGCTGCAATGCACATAACACCGCATATTCCTCCCCCCCAGTTGCCCCACTGGTTCCCACAGGCCCTGAGTCGCCTTTGCTAGCCCACCGGGTTCCACATGCTCCTACCCACCACGTCACCATTTGCTCACTTACCCTTCAGAGATTGCCAGAGCTCGGGATGTCGAGGTAGGAAAGGAGGACAGGCTGTTCCATCGCTGGTCCACGTGGCAGGAAAGTGGCACGGCCCTGTTTTCAACAAAACTCTTCTCTCGCCACATTCCCTCTTCTGTCCTGCAAACGCAGGTACGAACGTGGCCACCTGCTCCCTCTTCCAGTAAACTCACGTGGCCACACCCTCCCTCTTTCTCCCAGCGAATGCAGCAGGCTGGCCAACTTTTCTCTGATGCTGGGAGAAAGGTGTGGCCACGCGGGTTTACTGGAAGAGGGAGCAGGTGGCCACATTCGTACCTGCGTTTGCAGGGCAGGAGAGGGAGAGTGTGGCGAGGGAAGAGTTTTGTTGAAAACAAAGCTGCGCTGTTTTTCTGCCACACGGACCAGCAATGGAACGGCCTGCTCTTCTTTCTTACCCTGACGTTCGGAGCTCTCCAAAGAGACTGTTGAGGAGGTCCAAGTGGCTGTGGGGACCCCAAGGGCAGCATGCGGCATCTCAGTGGGGGGTGGTTTTGGGAAGCCAGGGCAGGTGGTCTTCCTACACCAGCCCACCATCGCCTTCTCCACCTGATTCACCCTCTGTGCACTTAATGACTCGCACACTCGATTAACAAATGCACGGGGGTGGGGGGGTGGGGAGGAGAGGCAGGATGGGGCTCATTCATTTAATTATGGTCTCAATTGTGGTTGGAAGCAAAAAAAAAATGCAACTAATAATTAGCCTCCCAGTTATGACAGAATTGGGACCAGGATTTTTGTCACTAAGCAAGGTGACCGTAAGGTGTGATGCCACATGACTTAGCCAAAGCAACCTTGGCAGCCCCACCAAGTCGTAACTCTTATTAAGCTTACCTATTGCTTCTCAAGAGGAACGGTCATTAAGTGGGAAGCCGTGGAAGCCCCCGGGAAAGAGGGTGAGGTGGGGGAGGCCAGAGGAGGCGGCAGAGGAATTGAGGGAGGAAGGCCAGTAGTGGGAGCTCAGGGATGCTGCTGGGGTGGAGAGCCGAGGGAGGCCGAGCGAGCGCAGGAAGGCTGGCCAGACTGATCAGAGCGCCTGGAGACCTTCCCTGCTTGGGGGGGAAGCTTGCAAATGATGATCATGTGATCTTAGGGCGCTGCCCAATGCCCAAATCGTAACCATGTGATTGTGAGAATGCTGCGGCAGCCAGAACTTCAAGAACTGGGTGTAAGTACCACTGGTTCAGCCCTGCTGCAGTTTTGAGTGGAAAGAGGCTTGTTTTGTGTTTATTTATTTTATTTATTTATTTAATTGATTTATTTAGCATTTATGAACTGTCCATCTCCCTCAAAGAGGAACGATAGGAAAGAGGACACCTCTTGGCATTTTTCTTCTAATCTCTTTTCAGATAAAGCAAACGGTCTCTTCCAGGGGGCGAAGGCCCTTCTCACCTGGTAGAACCTGGGCAGTGCCAGGATACAGGGCATCAAGCTCTTCCGCCTCAGGTTGATCAGCTTGGTTTTGTGCTGAGTAGTCAGGAAGTGGAGCTGCAGGGTGATGAGCCTGGTCAACCTCTTGCAGCGCAACGACTGGCACACGCAGAAATCCTAAACGCGGGAGCAGAGGGGCATCAGGCGGAGCAAGGAGGGAGCCCCGGGAGCAACCGCCTGTCCCGCCCTTTTCGTCACACACCAAACCCAGAAGGGAGACATCAACACCCACCCTTCAGCTCCAAACACATTGGAGCACTTGGCAAATGGAAGGCGACGTTACTGACATTATTGGTTTGCTGAAGCCAATACCCCACTCCTACCTCAGCTGCAGATCCCACCACAAGATGCCAGTGACCCTAGGAGACACCCATGCGCCAGGCACCTCCTCAGTCCCCGTCTCACCTTGGAGTAGCTCTCGGCAGCATCTAGGAAGAGGGTGAGGGCTCTCATCAGGAGCTTCTTCAAGCTTGGCACGTCCTGAAGGCTCTCCTCTAGAAGGGAGAGAGCAGCTGGTAGCCTGGGCCATTGTGACAATCCCACCCAGTATCGTGGGATGAGACTCTCCCCAGGCAGAGAGGAGTGAGGTGGCAGCAAGTGACCAAGCACTGAACCAGAGGTATTTCACCAGCCCAAATAACAAGAGCCGCCTCCCTCAAGCTGCTTTGGACACAGGCGACCAGGTGCAAGGGGCGACAGTCCTGCTGCCCCATCTAAGTGGATGAGGACACGCTGAATAGAACAGCAGAGCTCTCCATTGGAAAAGCTCAGGCCTGAAGGGGCTTCCTTGGAGTGAGGACTGTCCCACCAGCCAGCCATGAAATCCAGCAACAGAAGCAACCTCATTCTCTCTCCTGGAACCACAATGGGAAAATCTGGCTGGCACAGAACTCCAAGGAAACACTGGCATCAAAGCAAAAACTGCCCTTTTCTGGTATCTGTCCGGTCCCATAAATCCCTATAGGACCGCTGTCATTCTGGTGGGAGGGGGGAGGCTTAGGGGGACCTTCCGTTTCTGTTTCTTGCTTTGCTTTGCTGTAACTTTTGGGACCTTGGGAGGGGGAAAGGAATGTGCCTCCCGCTGGCTGCCTTATCTCGTCTCTGGAGAAGAGCAGCAGGCGTTTGTCATCCTCTCAGCCGGAGTTTCCCTTAACATCTTCAACACAGGGATTGGCTCGATGATGGATTGGACTTTGGGAGGGGCTCTGTCTGCACTGCTTTAATCTAACGTTTGGAAAAGCTAATTCCTGCCTAGATCTCTTGCTATCACGCTCTTCCAATAAAAGTGTCCTTTGGAAATGAGAAGACTGGCAGGGCCTTACATTATCACTGAGTCCAAGCTACAATAATGTTCACAGTTCTTAGACGTGCCAATTGTGTTGCAGTTACTGCTGGAGGCTCTTTGTCCTTCCCAGCAGCAGCCAAAAAGCAGCTTCATTTGCAGACCTGCTTCTAGAGGACTCTGCAGCCCAGCGCAGCTGACTCCACGGGAGGCTCTTGCCTGAAGGGGAACCTGTGGAACCCTCATCACTGGACCTCCTGCCTGGGGGTTGAGTTCGGCAACACTCGGGGGCCACAAGAGAGAGAGAGTTTCTGAGGAGCGACTGGCTCTTGGTAGCCCTGCGGGGGTCTATGCTGCCCATCAGGCATATTTTCCCCCTTCCTCAAAGCCTGAAGGAAAGAGAAAGCGGAGCTGGGCCCTCAGTGTTCCTTGCTCCCTCGGGAGAAGCAAGGTGAAGAACAAGCAGCAGGAGAGTCCAGCCCGACGGATCCCCGAGTGCAGCCTCCATCCACCCAGAGTGTCCGCCAGAGCGGCCTACCTGGACAGGTGAGCCCTTACCCCATGGCTGAGATTCAATGAGCTTCAGCTGGACATTGGCCGCAGCCTCGTGGTTCTCCCCAATCTCCCGGCACATGCTGAAGCAGAGGGCAATCATGTTGTGCTTCTCACTGTCTCCCGGCCGGCAACGCTTGATGTAGTCTAGCAGGGCGGTCTTGAGGGTCCCGTTCTGCCAGAGGGAGAGGGAGAGGGAGAGGTGCAGCAGGAGGAAAACTGGCATCTTGCCAGCTAGAAGTCTGCCACACAGTCCCAAGCAGCCAATCCCACCGGTCCAAGGGGCCCAGGCCTCCCCCTCCACTGGTCAGGAGACAGACGTCCTTCACAATGGCAGGAGTGGGGGGGCTTGAGGCGATCCCGACCCAGCCTCCAACTGAGCGCATCCCAAATTGGTCCCTGCTACCTTGAGCATGTCTACTGAGCAGGAGATCACTCTGGATCAAGGCTTCCACTGCTACTCAAAGCAGGAAGGTTTTCCCTAACATTGATTCAGAATCCACCTTCCTTTTACTTAAGTCCAATATTCCATGTGCTGCACTTTGGAATGATAAAAAATGGGCCTTGACTTTCTTCAAGGCAACACACTTGGAAATAATTGGAAACTCCTGGCAGCAAAACTTTCCTTGGTTATTAGCAAATCAATGCCATCTCATGGTTTTCTCAGAGTTTCATGTTAAACTTCTGATTATATTTTAGCTTCTATGTCCTTTGTGGTTTAATGTTTGGCATACTGCTCTCCAAAGTTGCAAAATAGTTGCTGTTCTCCTTTCTAAAATAGACTTTAAATGAATAATCCTGGGCCCAGCTTTCCCAAGTCAAAGCTGGAAGATAATAACCGTTGTGGTTGGAGGGAGGGAAATGAAGGCTGCTTAGACTTAGAATAACTTTATTGTCACTTTAAATGTACACTAATTGGCATATATATATATATACCGTGTTTCCCTGAAAATAAGACTGTCTTATATTTTTTTGAACCCTGAAATAAGCGCTTGGCCTTATTGCCATGCGCTCAAAAGCCCGATTGGGCTTATTATCAGGGGGTGTCTTATTTTGGGGAAAACAGGGTAAAATGAAATTTTGTTGCACACAGCTGTCAGAGGGTCACCAATATACACTACGTAAACATGACTAAACAAACAGACAGACAAATTCTGCTGCCCAGAATTATACAACATAAAAGCAACAAATCTAATAAGCCATTATCATCTTTTCCCGTAATCCGTTGTGCCATGGCAGGAAGAGAGGGCAGCAGTGGTGGGATGATGGTTCCCAAGGACTTCTGAAGGAGTCCTCCCTTCCGCCTATGAGCCCTCCTGCTACAAAGAGAGGTCATAAAAGAGCAGGAAGTTCTGAACAAGTCCAAACTGATTTCTGGTGATGACTGCGTTGCTTTTAAGTCCTTCAAACTTTATGACCTGCCAGGCAGAAATGCCAGACTACTTGATTGCAAGTTCCTCCTTTGCTGGAAGACAGCTGGAAGCACAGGAGGAGCTTGGGAAGAAACTCTAAACTGCCCCACCTTGGCTCTCTTCAATATAGCAATAGCGCTTAGACTTATATACCGCTTTGCAGTGCTTTTTACAGCCCTCTCTAAGGGGTTTACAAAGGGAAGGGATGCCAACGCCACCCCGGCCTGGGGAAAGCAGATCTGGTTCATAATGCCTACCGGGTCCAGCTTCTTTCTCATCAGCACCTCGAAGTAATGCTTTTCATGCAGGAGGTCAAAGATGTAGGTCATCTCATTGTACCTGCCAATACCGGTGAGAAGGCGAACCTTTGGGGAGAGAAGAACTTTCAGCTGAGTGAAATGGCAGCCTACATTCACACAACTCCACTCCCCCCATAAGGGCACCAGGGGGTCTGGGCCATATCTGCCACGTCCTGATATCCAGCCAGCTTCAGAAAGGGCGGCTTGGAGTCCCAGTCAATCCTCGATTTACAACAGTTCACTTTTTTTTTTTTTTTTAAATTGATTTATATGCCGCCCTTCTCCGGAGACTCAGGGCGGCTTACAATGCGTTAAGCAATAGCCTTCATACTTTTGTATATTTATACAAAGTCAGCTTATTGCCCCCACAATCTGGGTCCTCATTTTACCTACCTTAGAAAGGATGGGAGGCTGAGTCAACCTTGAGCCTGGTGAGATTTGAACTTGCAGTAATTGCAGGCAGCTGGTGTTAAATTACAGTGCCTTTGTCTGCAGAGCTATCCACTTAGCTCTGCAGGCCCACTTAGTGACCACTCAAAGTTACAAGGGCACTGAGAAAAGTGGCTTATGATCGTTTTTCACACTTGCAACCATTGGCAGCATCTCCGTGGTCAAAATGCAGGCGCTTGGCAACTGACTTGGCAACTGCCGTGTCCCAGGGTCACACGGTTCCCTTTTCCAGCCTTCTGACAAGCAAAGTCAAGGGGGAAGCCAGAGTCACTTAACAACATGTGACTAACTTAACCACTGCAGCGATTCACTTAACAACGGAAATTTTGGGCTGAATTGTGGTTGTAAGTCGAGGACTACCTGTACCTGTCTCCACTGAGAAGCTGAGAATGAGCAGATACTAAGGCCAGATGAGGACACTCTCTCTGCCCTGACAGGAGCTGCAGCCTCCAGCTAAGAGCCCTGAAGAGTTTGGGGCTGGGAGGGGCAGGTTCTTGCTCCACAACTGCAGCCCCTCCCTACTCTCGGAGGAGTTAACCTACCACAAGGCCGTACTCTTCCTTTGGGGCCAAGTGTTCATCTGTGAGCAGCCGGGCAGCTTGGAGAACACGAGTGATGCCTTCCATGTGACAAGTCAAGCTGAAGCAGTTGTGGGCCAGAACCAGGAGCTCCACAGCTAAGGAAGGAGAGGGGCTTCCGTGAACAAACGCTCGTGCTGCACACTAACCCTGGCGTCCTCCCACATGAGACTCAACTACAACCCCCAGCAATTCAGCCAACATGGACAACGACCAGGGATGTCGGGAGTTGCATTTCAGCCAACTGGAGGACCAGAGTTCCCATCTGATCCAAGAGAAAACAAATGTTGTTCAAAGGAGGGAACAGACGACTGGTCACGGATTCATCATTTGCCAGTTTTTCCCAGCTCTCCCACTTTGTTTCTCTTGGAAACATTAGCACATCACTGAAGAATCCCCCCTCCCCCCCAGCTCTAGAGGTGCAGAGAAGAAAAGCAGGCAAGCAGGGGCCTCCGTGGAGAAGGCAGCGGCTTCTGGGCTTTGATCCCCAGGAACACGATGGCACAGTTTCAATACGTGTCACCATGTTGTGTCAATATGGACTATGCAAGAAGAGTCAGCAAGAGACACAACATGAAGGTGAGGTCAAAGGAGATCCAGATTCCCCTGGCCAATAGATCCTCATGAGATCTTTGCCAAAGTATAGGTATTTTGGATTTCAGTCCGAGTTGAGACTCAGAAGTCCTCACAAACCTAACCTTAAATTCCAACCTCACAAGGACCCATTTTCTATCCACCACGAACTTACTACAGGCAAGCTCCCCATGTGGCACAGAGGAAACCTTATCCAGCAGCTTCAGGCCGACAAGTGTGTGGTCCTGGCAAAGCTTGGCCAGTTGCAGGAACCTCTGGCTCTCCTCTGCAGGATTCAGGGCTGGAGTTTGCTCTGTAAAATAAAATAAGACAGGCTGCGTCTCTCCTCTGGTCCTAGGAATTATATTATTTTATTTATTTATTATTCAAACTTCTATATTATAGTCCTTCAGTAGCATGACATAATTCGATTAAATAATGATCACGTGAGCTACAGTCCTGACAGAACCTAGGTTAAAAAGGCAAATCAGAGAATACAGCAGCAATCAGAGAATAATGAAGAGTTGGAAGGAACCTTGGAGGTTGAAGCCCTGCTCGAGCAGGAGACCCTATCAAAATCAATCAAATCCTCAAAACCCATCAAAAGAGAAGCGTGAAATGACAAGGCTTGGCCAAAGCCCAGCAAGCAGCAACTATCCAGAGCCAAACCCATTTGTCCAGCTTCGTGTTCCCAAGCAGAGACCAAGAGTGGACTTACTGCCTCTTCCTTCCGAAGGCGCCAGCAGCTCACGTGTGATTTCCTCTGCCACAAGCTCAGCCACAGCCCCTGGCTCCAGCCCCTGGTTGGTGATGAAGGCCTGGGCCTTCTTGTACCAATCTGGCTGCTGGGAGGACAGGATTGCCCGAAGCAGCTTCTCTGAATCGTGGACGGCGATCTCACTGAAGGCACAGCCCAGCTCCTGCAGAGAGCCAGGATGGGGGGAGAAGAGTCAGATCACTTACCTTCCTGCTTGAGGCACGAGGGCTGCTTCTCCTTCACCCTGATTCCAGACCCCAGCGACGTACTTTGGAGAGTTCGTAAAGGTAGAGAGTCTGTCGACAATAATTCCGACCATGCACACATTCTGCAACTAAAGTCTGCAGGCTGCCGACCACTCCACTATCCGGAGAGGAGCCCCCCACAGAGGACCAGGAATCGAGGCTTGAGGCTGAGAAGAAAACCAAGATCTCGGAGTTGAGCAAACAGCCAGAGCAATACACCGGGCAGGCGGGGGGACACACCTGGGAGCTGCCAGCATCACAATCGAGCAGGACACATTCAGCTGTTTAGAGAGAGCCTAAGATGCATCCCCCCCACTTGCCACGCTCACAAATTCTGAACCCACAGAACCTCTGGACTTGCAGATGAGTTGCTGAGTGGCACCATCTTTCTCCACTTATTTCTGGAGTGGGGAAATGGCACAAGTGGTCCTCAGCTTACAGCAGTCATTGGGAATTTCTATTGCTAAGCGAGGGGATGGTAAAGGCTGACTGCAGTCTGGATCCCACGATCTTCAGGGGAGGAAACTTCCTGCTGCCAGGAAGTTGCAAGCAGGCCAGCTAGCAGGTAGTAAGTGGCTGATGGCGGGTGGGGGAGAGTACATGGCAAGGCTCGGGGTGGGTATGGGGGGTGCGTGAGGGGGGCAGCAAGGGCGGGGGAGGGGGAGCAGAATGCACTGGGGTGCAGAAGGGTGCAAAGGTGGCACCTCAGGGAGGGTGTACAAGGGAGGCACTGTGCAGGGGAAGGGGAAGGGAGCTTCAGCCAAAGCACAGAGGGGTGGGTGAGGGGCCGGCATGGGGCAAGCGCAGAGGGGCTGGGGAAGGAGGACACTTACTCCCATAACTTGCAACCTGCTTTGCTGGCTTCCCCACTGACTTTCTGAGGAAGCTGGCAGGGAAGGTTGCAAATAGCATCACATGATGCCGGGAGCCGCAACCGTCATAACTGTTGAGCCGGTCATCAAGCGCACAGATGGAGACCATGTAATTATGGGGAGGCTGGAACTCTGAGGACCATTCATTCAATGCTCCTGTGACCTTGAATGGTCATAAGTCAAGGACTACCTGTAGTGATTTTAAAATGTCAGAAGGGCAAAATTGAAACAGGAGGCCTCCATCCCTGGTAGAATGGCCATCGTAAAACCCCACTGCCACTGCTCCCCCTGCCTCACTACAGAGACAGGCTGGCAAACAAAAGGCAATGGGCTGTAAGGAGCCATGGGTGGCGCTGACTCTGCCCTCAGTCAGGAATTGGATCCTGACGGGGCTCCAGGTTGACTCAGCCTTCTGTCCTTCCGAGGTGGGTTAAATGAGGACCCAGATCGTTGGGGGCAAGAGGCGGACTCTGTAAAATGCCCAGAGAGTGCTGTAAAGCACTGTGGAGCAGTACATCAGTCTAAGTGCTATTGCTATGAGGAAAGAGTACAATGGCCTATGAGAGACTAACTGGTCTCACTCGGATGTTTCATGGTGGATGCAACTTACAACTCTTCAACCGTTTCTTTTCGGGTGCCGCTTCTCTGTGCCTCTTGCTGTTCTCAGCTGCCAGGAGAGCCTGGATCTCTGGATGGAAGCAGCCCTGGGCGTCCTCCCCCAAGGCCAGCATTCTGCAGTGCAAGATCAGGGCGACGTCTTTGCTGTAGAAGCTGAAATAGCGGCAAACCCGGGCAGCTTCGTGCACGCTTCCTTCATCCAGAAGACATCCAATCAGAAAGCTCAGTGATGCCGCTTCAGCTTCGGAAAGCATAACTGTGGATGTATCCTGGGAAGGGAAACCTCTGAGCTCCAGGTACTTTGGGATGTTTAAAGCAGCAACCTTAGAAAAGCAGAATTCCTTGGCCAAGGAGTCAAAGGACAGCTCACTACTTATGGAAATCTGGTGAGAACCTCTGGGCTCGATCTGCCCTGTGCCTTGGCTGAAAGTTTGTCGCCTGATGTGGCACCACCAGATTCCCCTCTCTATCTTCTCCAGATCATCTACAGGAACCGGGTCGCTTCTGACTAGCCAGTGTCCAGCTAAAGTAAGCAGGAGTTGCCTCTCTGACACCCTCTCATCCTCCGGGCCCTCCGAGACCAAGTCTGCCTGAGCTGAGAAGAAGCCGGAGGCAGCTCGATTGGAGATGGCATTTTGCACATAGTTCTCGTGGCACTTTTTCCAGAACTCAACTCTTGTCCGTTTTTGAGTCCAGTGGCCAACCTGTTTCAAGAGGAGGAGGTTTTGGAGCACCTGGAAAGGACACAAGCCACCATCAGAAGCCAAGGAACTCCACTGCACAGAAATGATTGTCTGACACAGAGCCTCGTGATTCCAGGGATGGCTTCCCCACCCCCACCCCACCCCAGGTGCCTCTCTCGCCCTTCCTACTCAGCCCCTCTTCCTGGCAGAGGTTCATTGAACTCTGGAGAGCCGAGTGTGGCTTGTGAAGGCCAGGCTGCCTCGGGCTGGCAGGGGTCCCAAACAGTGCTGGGAAAGCCCACTGTGCCAATGCAGATCTGGACACACAGCTGCAACAGACATGGGGGAGGGGAAAGCAGCCACCAACAGGATGACACTAACTTTGCAGTAGGTGAAACGCAATCAAGGGGAATAACAACAAAAAGGGCTGGACTCCAGGGTACCTCCTGAATGACAACATTGTCTACAGGCAGTGCTGCCAGCTCTGCTACATTGCGAGCCACAGAGAAAGAGCTGCTCTCCTGCAGCTGCTCCAGAATCCTCTGGCACTCCTCCTGAAACCTCTCAAAGCTGTAGTTGCCCAGCAGAGTCCGGCTGATGGAGGTGGGTGAATCTTTCAGGATGATACCGAGGGCACTGAGCTTCTTCAGATCTGGTCCTGCACCCAAAAAGGAGAAGAGCAATAGCGACAGGAGAGGGACAGCCTGTAGCTGAACAACAAGACAGACTTTGGGGATGGAGCAAAGGGGCTTTTCTTGAGTCCCCCCCCCCTCCCGACAGGGCTGCATAGCTGAGGCACCCCAGTTGGGAGAGAACCTAACATCAAAACCAGGGAAGCCCTGCAGCTAAATCAGCCAATGGAGCCCACCGAATGCAGCACCCTATTCTCCAAAACAGTCACCGGCTGTCACATCAGCAGGCAATTTACTGCCACCTGATATAAGTCAGACTGTCCTGAGCCCCCAAGCCCCCAGCAGTGTCAGCCACAGCAGAGAAGAGAAGAGAAGAGAAGAGAAGGAAGGTGTCCTTGCCATGGAGAAGAGCAGTTCCTGCATCTGCAAGCAGCTCGAGGAGTTTTCTGAACTCGTACTCTGTTCTGCACTGCTGCAGCATCAGGTTGAGTAGGAAGGAGGCCTGCAACTCCAGCCAGGGCCCAGGGAGGACGGGCAGCCACCTCTCACACTGAGCTTCAAGCTGCAGGAAGAACAGGTCACTGGGCAAGATTGTTTCAAAACCTTTCCTCTGCAGCTCCAGTACAAAATAAAACCGCTTGTATCAAAAGCCACTCAGGTAGCAGCAATTTTGGTACCTGGAAAGTCTGTGCACAAAGAAATGCTTGTACACACATCGGCCAGATGAAGGCTCCTTCCACGGAAAACCCTGCTTTGCTGAGCAATGCCTCTTCCCTGAGAAAGCCTCTTTCCTGGACCAGCCTCTTCGCCCTCAAAATGTACAACTTCCCACAATATCTGTTCCTAAATCCGGAGCGGAATTTACCCTTCTCATTCACACCGGTTCTTCTCGCTACCTGGCCTACTGACAATCACCAGGGGGCCACACTCCTTTGCCCCCATGTGGGACAAGCATGATTCCAAAACAGAGGTCTGACCCAGCCTTCGCAAGCCATGATAAAACGTTTACTCGTGAGTAAACAACCCCCTTTTTTATAACAGGGCGGTAACAGTCTTTTATTCACAGGGATAAACAAAAAAATCAAACATAATTAGTCCCAACAAACCTGGGTTTATCCTAGAAATCTGAATTGCTTGTATACTAGAAATGAACAGTTGTTTGCAACAACTGACCACTCCCAAACCCCTCCTATTTATTTCCCAGCCGGGGAGGGGCTGGCCCTGAGAGCTGGCTTATTGCTTTCCTTTGCTCTCCTCTCCTTTCTACGCATACAGAGCATCTGTTCCTCCCCCTCACTCAGCTCAGGCCCTGAAGACAGCTGCCTCTCCACCTGGGGGAGGACAGAAGGCCCCGGCTCTGCCTCTGTTTCTGATGCTGTTTCCTTATCAGAGCCTTCCAAAGGCTCCGAAGCTGGCCCAGGCTCCCCCTCCCCCTCCCCCTCTTAACTCTGCAGCTATCTCTGCTGGCAGCAGACCCACAATAAACAGTCCTTCCCTTGAAATGCCAAGTTTCTTCTTTGGCCACAAGAAAGACGAGGGAATGGAGTAGATATGAGCTCCCTGACAGCCATGGGTCACCCCTGGGCATCCCCACCGTTAAGACAAGAGGCAAGAGAAGAGTTCCACATCTTTGATCTCAACAACAGGGGATGAAAAGGCACAAATCCAGGAACCAAGAAGGACCACCCTGGCAGGACCCGTGGGAATTCTGATCACCTGGGAGCTAGGCGACCTCCAAGGGCTGGGAGCATTCAGGACACGAAAAAGGAAATCTGCCTGTTCGGTTTGTAAAAAGCTACAGGGGCCAAATTAAATTTCTGCTTACTTTTGAAAGATTGTCTTGAAATGTGAGCAGTTTCATCTTGGCTTGGCTGTAATTTTTGTACTCCATGCACAATTCATACACTTCCAGCATTATCAGCAAAGGAGAATCCTGAATATCAGAAGAGAAATAAAGAATTGTGTGCCCAAATTCTACCAAGAGTGGGTTGCACATCTTTGGAAGGAAAAAAGGTGAGTTCTGGATAGAGGGAGGGGGAGAATCTCTCCCGGATAAGTGGATAAGTTCTGAGAGGGGAGCTCTCGTCTGCCGGATGTCTTCAAGCCCATGTCTGGGCAGCCGTTGGGTAGGAAGAAAACGGTCATTCAGATTCTTGCACAGAGCACGAATCCAGTCTCAGGGCCTCCCCCAAATCCAGGATTCTGGCTCTTCCTCATCCCTCCCTCCCAGCACTCCATGAAATCTGCCCCCACCCCACCCAAAAGACATGTGCTTCAGTGGCACCCGCCATGTGTGCCTCCGAGGGCTGGGCGAGCGACCCTGGCCAGCTTACCTCCAGGAAGAGCTGGAAGCCATGAAGGAGGATCCTGGCCTTCTGCCTCTTCAACAGCCACTGCCAGAGAAGGGCCAAGTCTGGAAGGCCCCACTCGTGGGATTCAGCCATGCCGTCCATGTGCCCCATCACCTCACTGGTGGCACAAGCGTCCAGGGAAGTTATTATCCAAACACAGAGACAGTGGAGAAGGCTGGCGTCCTGCCCAGTGTGGGCGTGACGGAATGAAGAGAAGAAAAACGGTATTTTAAAAAAGCAGAGTGCGGATTGAATAATCCACACGCCAAAGTCCAAACTACCACAGCCCGCCTGGGCCTGATGCACAGCAGCTGCATTGTTCCAGAGTCACCTTCCACCCCCATCCAGGAGCCTGGATGCCCATCCTGGAGAACTCGTACCTGGAAGCCAGCAGCCAGCACGCTCAGGACGGGCAAGTGGTGCTTCACAGAGGCAGCCAAGAGGTGTCGCCAAGGGCACGGCTGCTCCTGGCTCTGGAGCAGGACATGGAATAGGCCCTGCGGCTCCTGCTCCAGCTCCTGCAAGCCCCCCTGCCTCGGAGGCTGCAAATGCCTCAGGGCCAACGCCAAGTGGTCCCGCAGGGGCAGGGGGAAGTCCCGGAGGAGGGGGATCACCTGGGAGACGGAAGGAAGGAGAGCAAGCAGCTCCGTAAAGCTTTGACCGGGAATCCACCACGCCAGAGGGAGGCTGCAACGCCTCCCAGGAGATGAATGAGGTGGTGGTGGGGGTCCTCCCCAGGAGACTGAAGCCCCAGCTTGGAGAATTCAGAGTCGGGGAGCCCTTGGAGTGGAAGGATGGGCAGGAACGAGTGGGCCTGTTGCTGCTCACTGCAACCCTCTGCCCACCTCCTTTTCCACCTCATCTCTTTACAAAGAATTGTGACTTCGCTATTCCGTGGCATTAGAATGCTCTTTTCTCCTTAAGAGGACCATCTTCCACCCAAACCTCACAGGCCTGGGGCTCAGCTCAGCATCCAGCAGCTTCTCACCTCTGCTGGCTGGTAGCCGTGCATTTGCGCTTCAGTCACAAACTGCAGCCATTCGTTCGAACGTGCACAGGCCCTCAGGTATGACGTGCTCAGCTTGATGTGGTGCAGCTGGCAAAACTGGACGACCAGGGACCAGTGATGCCTCGCCTCGCTTGAGGTCCTGAAAGGAAGGAGCCTCTTTACGCCTCTCCTCGCCCTCTCCTGCCACAGCAGCAAGCCACGCTGCTCTCACCCACCCACCCCCAATAAATAAGTGAGCCAAAGGGTAAAGGGCAGGGGTGTCAAACTCGACTTCACTGAGAGCCGCATCAATGCATGTTTGACCTTGGGGGAGGGCTGGGGGGGCATGGCCAGGGTGGGTGTGGCCAACTTACCATCACTCATGTCAGGGAGGCCTGTGGTGGCCCCAGCCCTCTGCCAGTGAAAATGGGCTCCCGAGCTACATTTCGGCTGCGACTGCCTCCTGCAACCCTCTGCCAGTGAAAATGGAGCTCAGGAGCTCTGTTTTCACTGGCAGAGGCACCGGGGGCCGGTCCTTCACTGTTTCCAGGGTGCCCCACGTGCCACATCTAAGCAGTCTACGGGCTGGATCAGGCCCCTGGACCTTGATTTGACACCCCTGGTATAGGGGAAGGTCCCACAGCTTATCTTTGGAGTTTTTTTTTTGATTAATTTGATTTATATGCCGTCCTTCTCCGGAGACTCAGGGCGGCTTACAATGCGCTCAGCAATAGCCTTCATACTTTTGTATATTTATACAAAGTCAGCTTATTGCCCCCACAAACTGGGTCCTCATTTCACCTACCTTAGAAAGGATGGAAGGCTGAGTCAACCTTGAGCCTTGGAGAGATTCGAACCAGCAGAAATTGCAGGCAGCTGTGTTAATAACAGGGTGCTTAGACCACTGTACTATCAAGGCTCTTTTTTATCAAGGTTTTTACGTATCCTAGACCATGAACGAGGAGGAAGGAGGCGGCACATTCAGGCCAAACACGAGTTCTTCTTTGAATGATTGACTCTAACAGCTCAAACTGTTAGCTGGCAGAATAGCAACAAATACTTATAGCAACAACTAACAAAACAGCAAGTGAAGAAAATGCAGGTACATAGTCTTCAGTTAATGACCCGAATTGGGACTGGGACTCCCACTGCCAAAATGATGCAGTTGTTGGGCAAAATATCACAACTGCACCGCTTACGACGGAGTTTCAGTCATGGGTTGAGAACGTATTTTCCAATCCTTCGGCCGAGTCCTTCCAAGAGCCCCAGGCCTAGAAGGAGCTCCTCCTACAGTGCAGCACTCAAGCTCCTCCTTTCGGTTTGAAGCCTCCGATGGACACTCGCTCAACCAACTCTGTGTCCATCCTGGGGAAGCCCAGCCCAGCCCAGCGCTAATTATTCCAATTCTTCACCTTCACAAAAAGTAATACAAAGTCTCAGATTTTGTTATGAATTCCTAATAGTCCTATGAATTTGTAATTTAAGCTCTCCGGGAGTAAACATGACAAGTTGTTTTTCTTGCTCTCTCGGTTGTCTTGAGACCAAGTCACACAATATTGAACCACAAACTCACTTTTTTATCTCTTGATGGTCAACCTTATCCCAGACGGCTTCCTCTAAGCAGACCAGAAGGTCTTCGGCTGCAGTTTTTTCTCCATCAGCCAGCTCTCCTAGCTTTTCAACTGAACACAGAAGAGACACTGTCAGCCCAACATGTAGATAGGTAGATAGCAAGAGCAAGAGACTTATATACCGCTTCACAGTGCTTTCCAGCCCTAAGCGGTTTACAGGGTCAGCACAATTGCCCCCAACAATCTGGGTCCTCATTTTACCCACCTCAGAAGGATGGAAGGCTGAGTCAACCTTCAGCCTGGTGAGATCTGAACTGCCAAATTGCAGGCAGCCAGCAGGTAGCAGGAGGAGCCTGCAGTACCGCACTCTCACCACTGGGCCACTGTGGCTCATAGACCTTCCCAAGAAGCCACTGCTCTACTAGCCAAGGCTATAGGAATTTTGTTTTATTTATTTATGGCATCTGAAGATGTCATGCAATCACTGGCATACAACACTAATAAGACGCATTATACATACAAAAACATTTATAAGTTCAAATAAGGGCTATGGGAACAGCCAGAGTCTGAGTGGGCTTCCCCCTCTCTCCCACCCCTCCTCTTCCTCTGGGACTTTCCCTCAGGTGAGGTGTTTTGCTCACTTCCTCCTGACCCCTGGGGGTCACTCACTTGCCCTCCACAGAATCTACCTTCATCAGATTTTTTTTTCATCAGTTAGGCATCTTCTTATTAGCAAGAATAATTCAAATAGAAAGGCACATATTTTACTTGAAATGTAAAAGCCTTTGTCTCAAATCTTAAGCCAGGTACCCCAAGGGAGAATAACATTCAAAGGCTGGAAATGTATTTGCAAACGTTACCCAAGGATTGTCTAATGGAGTGGTGCTGTGGCTCCTCTCTCCGGGACATGAAGCTCAAAATCACGTTGGCGGCCTTAACATCCACTCGCAGTTTCAGACTCTGCAGGCCCAGCATTTCCAAAAAACAGACAGAGGTTGCAGCAAGAGAAGGTGCATAGAAAACCGAGAGGGCCACAGAATAGGCTTCATTAGCCACTTGCTGAACCCTAGAAAAGGCACAATTCCGCTCTCAGCACGAATTCCATAAAGCTCACTGGGTTGAGAGGCAGGCAATTACAAGAGTCCCAGCACGCAAGCCAGTTTCCCCTGAACTACAGTTCTGACCCTTGGGCTGGAGCTCTCTGGGTCTCTTTCTCATGCCTTTCGGATGGAGGAGGCAGGCAGGGGTCTTCTGAGATGAGGGGACACGGTCACTCTGGGTGTCGCTCTGAGGACCGATGCTTACCCAGAGGGTATTTATGGCACCATCTGGCTCTACAGTACTTATTACGTTCACTTCTAGTGGCCAGGGTCACAAGTACGGTAGATGTTGTTCAGGTTGATAGAATAAAAGACAAGAGTGGTGTGAGGAAGGACAGACCAGGACTTGGGAGGTCCACGTTAACGTTTTCTCTCCTGCTTAGCACAGCCTTCTCTTTCTATCCTTCCCAACCCAACTGACCCACCAAGGAGCAGGCAGGAAGGTATGTGCTGCACTCATCTCCAGGAAGAAACACAGGACACAAATCAAACAGATAAACTTGCAAAAAAACAATTTTAACCATAATTACTGTAAGAGTCACATGTGCTTCTTTTAACTACTTACAGCTCCTTTGGGAGGTCACCCTTTGATAGCTGCTGAGCTAAAAATGCTCCGAAAGCAAAGGAGGGGCGCTCATGATATACATAATAGGAGAAATCAAGGTGCTCCATTATGGCATGCTTCTTTACGAGAGCCGAGCACGAAAAGTGAGGCAGGTCATTGCAAATATCTGAAAAGGACAGAAAAAGAGCACAACTGCAAGTAACTGGAACAAAACAAAGCAGCACCTGGCTTTGCCTTATTCCTCTTGACCCCAGAACAGGAATTCTTCAGGCTAAAGCAGGGCTCAACTGCTACTAGATTAGTTTCCAACTGTATGTGAAAGTTTACTTACCAGGAATGGCAAGCGTATTTGCTGACTGCCAGCCAAACAACTTGGTGGAATCAAATGGAGCCAAGCACTAAAAAAGGAAAACATTCATTTCAGATTGTACAGCACAGAAGTGTCAAACTCAAGGCCGGCAGGCTGGATCTGGCCCACGGGATACTTAGATCTGGCTGGTGGGGCCACTCTGGAAACAGTGAAAGTGCCAAAAGGTGCCTCTTCCAGCAAAAACAGACTCCCGAGCTCCATTTCTGCTGGCAGAGCGTTCGGGCCAGCACAGGCGCCGACATGAATGACGTTAAGATGGCCACACCCACCTGCCCCCCCAAATAAAACACAACCCTGATGCGGCCCTCAATGAAATCGAGTTTGACACCCCTTGTATAGCAGAACAGGCGAAGTTCAGAGCTGGTGTTATGTACTGCTCAGGGAGTCCTGTAACTTTTGCTCAGTTTGTGACTGAACTGGCCGCACATCAAGATTTGGAGCCAGCCTAATTTTTCCACATCCCCACAGCAACGCAAGAGCCTGTGGAAGGGCCGTTTTCCATGGCAGGGCTCTGGAGTGCAAAAGGCTCTCAATTCAAGGGTCTGCATCTACAGATTTTGGGTGCAGGGGCAAAAGAGCAACCTAAAAAGGACACCCTGGAGAGTCACTGGATCAGTGCAGTTGATATGGATCATGAAGAAATTACATGGCTCTAACGGAGTCCTGGGGCTGGCGCTCACAAGGGAGCGTCTTTCGGCGTCGGCGGGAGCACCAGCCCCAGGACTCCGTTAGAGCTGCTAGAACAGCAAAAATCAGCTGTTCAGCGGCTTGAAAACTTTCCCCCTGGGAGAAGGGGGGAAAGAGAGCTGACGGGTGTGGGTAGAGCTCCCCAAAAGCCCCAAGTTTCTTTTTAAATCTGGGAAGCCCGTTATTGCTCTGGACCTGAGACGTTTCTGCTTCAAGCAGAACTAGGCGTCGTGACCACCCCAGCAACTCAACTTTAAAGAAAAAAACTTTGGACTTGAAAGCTGGCAGAGCAAATACAGGAGAAACTAAAATGGCAAGTATTGAACTTTAACTCCGAAGAGTCTATCACTTCCCTCTGATTTTCTATGGGAGAAAGTAAGATGGCATTTGATTCTAACGACGGCGTGGAGAAGTGAAAGTTAGTTACAAAGTATCATGCGGTGCTGAAAGCCCCTGTTTAAAAGAAGAGGATTTTATTTTAAAAGGACTTTTATTTAAAAAGACTGGTACCATTTAAGGACTGGAATAATTGATTTAGTTGTTGGAAAAGTATAAAGTGAAAGTCTTATTGGGGGAAAAAAAATGGCTGGCTTTTTTGAAAGTGATGAAGGCTCACCATTACATACATCAGTAAATATACAAATACTGACTGTGGATCTCTTTGAAGAAATTTTAGAATCATTTATCTCCACTTTTGTGGAAAGAATGGAAGGGTTTTTCAAGAAGGACTTTACACAAATTTGAAACAAAGATACAAGTGAAGATACTGTATCGTTCCAGTTGCCAAACAATAAGGAGTTGCTGAAGGAAGAGGCGGACGAAATAACCCAGTTTAATGTGCCTTTGGAAAATGAAATGGAGGTTTTTCAAATTAAGAAGGAAAGGCAGTGAGGCTTGAAGGAGCGCAACCAGGAAACAATGAGAGACATTTCTTCAGAAGCTTTTACACAGACAACTGGAAAATTGTCAGGAGGCGTTGGGATTTCTTATATAAGAAGGAAGATTCAAAGTGGAACTTTACAACTTTTTTACAAAAATGGATTCCCAATTAAAGAGGTGTTAAAAGAGGTGTTAAAGAGGTGTTTTTACTGAAAGGAATTACTTTGCAAAGAGAACAGGATTGTAAGGTTCAGCAACTTCAGTTAAAAATCCAAGAATTTATAAAAATAAAAGAAGGCGGAGGAAAAAGACTGAAGCAAAAGGTTCTCAAAAAAGTCAGGAAAAAATGGAGAAGGAAAAATTACAATCCTCTTTTTTGGGGAGGATAGTAATAGTGAAAAAGAATGATTATACCTGTATAAGTTATATTATAGGGAAAATGAATGATTTACCTATATTTAGGGACATGATTTGTTTTGAAAAGTTACATTAAATAATGTTATGGTTGAATTGTTATGAATTGGTGAAGAATTTATATAAGTTTATGGGTTAAAAGAAAAATATTGTGGATGTAACAATTATGGACAGTGTAGATCATTCAATATAAGTTTATGGGTTAGAAGAAGGATATTACTTAAACTTTTATATGTTGTTTTAAATTACATTAATACCATATTAAAGAATGCTTTGTTGAAGAATAAATATAAACTTGTGGGGTATAAGGAAAATATAAATGGTGCAAGGGTTGAGGGAAGGTTTTTGACAATATTTTATATGGATATTAAACAGTGAAGATGTTATTTGATTATACGTAGAGGATTTGTAGAGAATAAGATGAATAAGTTTATGTAAAGTTACTAAGCAAGGAATGTTTTCAAGAAGAATTAATATAAGTTTATGGGGTAAAAAGTAAAAATAAGGTTTCTAGTGTTAATATATGTAAGGGTTGGAGATCTGATGTTTAACTGTAACTGACAGAAGTAAAAATAAGGTTTTTACAATATATTTTATTTGAGATTGGTTAAAATATTTTGTTAAGGTATTAATGTATGTAAGGGTTGGAGATCTGATGTTTAACTGTAGAAGAAAGAAGACTTGCTTATTATTGAAGAATGGACAAGAACGAAGCTGGATTGATTACTTTCAAGCAATAATTGGTCTAAATAGTTATATTTAGATATGAACAAGGGGAGTTAAAGTGCAAGAGGGAGATAAATCTATAGACAGCTTATGTTTTTTTTATGTTTGTTAAATGCTATACCCTGTATTTGCTCTGGGAAGTCAAGGGGGGGGGGGAGGGTTGGGGCAGGAGGGGGGAGGAGAGGGGGGAAAATACGTGTAAACTTTAAAAAAAACTTTTCAATTAAAAAAAAAAGAAATTACATGAAGAAATGGTCTAAACTTCCATATACAATGCAGCAGCCTTTTCCTTTTGGGATCTTTACAATGCGTCCAGATTCTGATGGGGAACAGGGGCTTGACCCAACTACTTTTTCTCTTAGGTGGTGCTTGGAGCTGGATGCATCCCTGTGAAAAACACTCTGGATTGAAGAGAGTTTGTGACTTGATCTAATAACTTCGGGCAGTCAAGTGTTTGCAGGAAGAACATGAAATGAAGGATTTTGTGATGGGCTGGCTGAAACAGCCCAAATTTAAATGGACACTAGAACAGTTATTTGTAATAACTTCTTAATGCTTTTTTCTGTTGTTTATGGGAGGCTTTCTTTTGCTACAGTGATTTTCCTCTTGGTGCTTTTTAGTACTTTTGAAACTTTTTGTTTTTGTGGAAAATGTGTTGGTAGAGTTCACTTATAAACAAGAGGTCAAAAGTAGAGACTGCAGATTCCTTTCATTGGGACTAAGTTGTTACTTTATATTGAAATTTTAATTTTTTTTTCTTTTTTTCCTTTGGTGAATCTGCATTTAACTTTTTATTTGCATTTATATAAAAATATACATCAAGCAAGTTCCAGACAAACCTAGTAGACAACTTTATCCCTCAAAAGGTTGATGAAGGAACTACAGGGCCAGCCACGCTGGACTTAAGGATTGGACTAGACTTCTAAATATGTGTAATTGTAACCCAAACCGTATCAGGTCGCTTTTATGTTTACTTAGGTGCTAATAGTTTCAGGGGTTAGTCTGGCCACTAGTGTGTGCTATTGACATTATTATGGGATACTAGACATTGAAGTATTCCCTCCCCCCCCCTTTTTTTTTTTTGATCATGGCTACAAGAAAGGCTCAAAGGAGAAGATCTGGAAATACTGACATTATAGCAATTCTAGAAAAATTTGCTAAAAATGTTGTACAGGTAGCACAATCTATAGAAAATAGATTTGATGCCCTGGAGAAAAACAAACAATAAACAATAAACTCAACAAGATTATGGCAGATGAAACCTAATCAAGTTGATGGCTGTATTTTAGGGGTCTTTGGGGGAAATCAAGCCATTAGCTACTAAAGCAAGGGTGACCGTCAGGTATCTGAAAGGACCCAAAGCAGTTTTCAGGTTTGCCTAAACTTTGCTATTATAAACAGCGTATGTCCCACACGGAGTGGAGGACCTCAAAGAGGTTGGAAAGAATTGTGCGCGACCACAAAGGCAGCCCCAAATGGACGCTGTCCAGAAGAGGGATGCAGAGTCAGACGCTGGAATACGATCAGAAGGTGGCACCATCTAAGAAATGTCCACCTTGCTTTCGCCTGGGCCTGCCAGATGAAAGAGCTGTAGGGTTGGAGAAGGACCATCCAAGGTGGACACTGCTTCAGAGGCTGTGCTGCCCGGGTAAGTCCTGGCCCTGCCCCAATTAGATCCGTCCACTACCGTGCCCACATTTTCTGGGTGGCATTGAATCCTACCTGAAGAAGGTGATAGAGAGAAAGGTCGGGAGGCGAGATTCCATGGGGAGTGGTCTGAGGGAAGAGGGCAGCTCTAAGCTTGGGGTAAGGAGCAAGTGCCATCCTGAAGAGCTGCGCATCCACCTTCTCTCTTCCATCTCCCTTCTGGACAATCTGCAACAGAAGAAGCACTGAAGTCTCCTTGCACCACCGATTTTCTGACACTCCCCATTCCAAGCGTTTGAGGCAGCCCAATGGCCGACCTCTGTTTCTCCAACAAGGGGCCAGGCCAACGTAGCTGGCCTGTGGTTGGGAGAGGGGATGTTGGGTGCAGGGAGCCTCCTTCAGGCCTTTAACCCTTTGCGGAGGGGCTGCTGAGTTGCCAGCCTTCTGCAGTTGGCATACCTGGTCAATCCCTCCCCCGGCGAACATGGTGGTAGCCAGGGCAAGAAGGGTTCGTCCCTCCAACAGCATGGTGCTCACGCTAGCCTGGTTGCCAGGAATCAAGATCTGGGCATTGGCCAGGCTGGCCTGAAAAATCTTGTCTGCATCTGGGGCAGGATGGCAAGGGGAGAAGAAGGGAGACAAAAGGAGCAGTAGCCAAAAGAAAATTCAAAATAGATTTAACATAAATCAAGCAGATTAATCAAAGCTAAACATCCTTTAAGTGCACAGATACACAACTCTAGTAGGAATTTCCAAAGGTCCCATTCATGACCCAATTTTCCTCCCTCTCAAAATCCTACCGAGAAGATCGGTGTGCAAATGACTCCCGCAGAGGGTCTGCCAACCCCAATTACCCTCCGCTTGGCAAGGAACAGAGGCTTCTGGAACTTGAGGGCACACTGATCCAGGTGGCCTTTGAGGGTCACCGTGGGCAGGACAGCACCACAAGCAGCCCACCCAAAACCCTGAACGTATCCCCTCTCCATTTCCAGGGCTGCTCTGAAAGGCCCACCCCTCATAATTTTAAATCTGACAGAGGAGGGAAATTATTAAACACAAAGAAAAAAACCCATATATTGTGTTTCCACTTAGAATCCAGTTTTGGAAAAAGAGAGGTCAATCCAGTCACTCACAGGATCTGGTGATCTCTTGGATCTCTAAAGTCGAAGCATGTAACGTTTTGTCCTGAGGCTGCCTACTCTTTTGAAGGGCAGCTCAGTAGCCAGCAAGTCAAGAGTGCAAATAGCCCTTGGCCTGAAGGATGACCACACACAGGGCTCACTTACAGCTTTATACGTCAAAATCAGTTTGATGCAGAAACCAAGAAGAGTTGAAAACCCACTAGATCACAAAGTAGATCTGATTCCCTGAACCCTGAAACTGCTCCATTCCGGACTGTTGCAGCTTCAAACCCATTTCAAAGGCAGGTCAAGAAGGCAACTACAGTGCAAGGGGTCACCGGAGGCTGTGAGAGAGTGGACAGGCCTCTCTTTCCCTGAAATGGAAGCGAGCCGGCCTGCCAGGTGAAGCCACTGAGGTCAGTTTGCCCAATAAGGAACGAAAAGCCTTACATGGTCAGGCCAGGGACTGCAGCTGCCCCTGGAACACCTGCCGTGCATTTTGACAAAGTAAAGGTAAAGGAGTCCCTGCAGATTTCACTCCACTAATTGTTGCCATCTATAGGGGCGGTTACTCATTTCTATTTCAAGGCCACTGAGCCAGCGCTGCCAAAGAGATTTCCGTGTAAGTAGATAAATAGGTACCACGTAGGTGGGAAGGCTTTTTGTCAAACATTTGTCCAAATGAGATGCAAAGACGCCACCTACCTCCAGGATTGTTAGCAATGTCCCAACATTGCACTAAAAATTCAAACCAAAGATGTTCCTCACGCAGATTCTTATCGTTCAAAATGGGACAGGCTGATGAAAATAAACTGAAAATCAAGAACGACATTTCATAGAATTAAAAAGACAAAGCAAGCCTTGTCTCTCCTGGCCAGATATCAGTCATTCCAATGAACTTGGCTTAACAATCAGCTGCACTGTGAGAAAACTGCCCTGCCTCCTAGGGCTGGAGGGGAGGGGACTTCTTGGGGAGGGTAATCGTCAGTTCCCATGATCCCACCAACACGACTCCCTTGTTTCCCTAGTTCACGGCTGTCCAGCACAAAGCACTTTCTTTTTCCCACAAGGCATAATGGAGACCATTGCAGGAAAGAAAGTGTTTGGTCTAGTTTATAAGCAATACCAACAGCTGAGCAGCCTCTGAAGCCCCCACCCCTTCACAGAATCTGCTGCTCCCATCACTGCTGCCTGCGTCCTCTAAATGCCTCTGCTGGAATCGTTTACGGCCATGCCCACCTACCGATAATAATCCAAGTAGGAGTAGAGAAGATGGTCCAGCCCCCGTTCTATGCAATAAAGGATAAAGCAGGTGTGGAAATCTAAGCCGCCTGCAGAGACGTAGCCCAGGAGAGGATGTGGCTCCTGCATCACGCCTCCAGCACAGGCCGTCCTTTGGAGAAGGCCTTCAAAGTCTTCCAGTTCTGTGGGCACAAAAGTCCCGTTTCTGTCAAGAAAAAAGCAGAGCAGAAAGAGCAGTGATCCACTAAGCAACCACCTCTTTTGGAAGAAAAACTGGATGGAAATGGAAATAATTATACGGACAAGGAGCCTACCTAGCTAGGATGTCCAAGACTTCATTGCGCAAGTAATGGCTGCATAATGCACTTTGACCGATGGCTTCTAAAGGGAGCGGGGGCCAGTTTGCAGGGTTACCTTCGAGTTGAGAATCAGAAATCCACGAAGTGATATTTACCCAATCGTGCCAAGACGACAAATACATCCAGAGGGCCTCAGGATTACGGAACTTAAATTCTAATTTTTAAAGAAATGAATACGTAAGTACAAACATTGGGTGGACACTAGGAACTATGCAGGGGCCTTCCTCAGGACGGGTGCCTTCCAGAATCCCAGAATCCCCTGGCCAACGTGACCATGGCAGACCACTCTCAAGCTGATGTCCACATGTGTAGCTGCTGCTATTAGTGAGAAAGGAAGTAGCCGGAGGGCTCTGCCCAACTCCATCCTCCCTGGCCTAATCACATCCCAGCTGCAGCTGAGCCAAAGCAGTTGGAGACCCCCCCCCCCCAATGCCTCACTCCTCTCTTTCTAGCCAGACACCCGACCTCCCCCAACCTCCTTGCTCCTGCTGCATTGCTCCTCCAAGAGATTTCTGTCTATGGCTTCTGGAAAAGGGGCTGGTTTTTATTCTGTTCTTCATTACACTTTTAACGTGCCTCTCCTCCGACTGCTGGTAGATTTCTGGGTGGCCTGCACTGTCTTAATTTCGCTTGTAACCCCATAAAAATGCCACAAAGAGAGTTGCCCTGCCCTCTTGAAGGAGGGCCTGGGGGGCACCAGTAAGGGGGTTGAGGTCTCCCTGCAAGTCATGAGTCGCCCACCCTTGAAAGAACCAACGGTTTCCAAAAACAAAACTGTCCGTTTAGTCTAGTGTTTAAGGCTCCAGGCTAAAAAGCGGAGCCCCGTCCTCAAGCATGAAAGCCAGCTGGGTGACTTTGGGCCAGTCAACCCCTCACAGTCCAAATCACCTCACAGGGTTGTTTTTGTGGGGAAAATAAGGAGGAGGAAGGTGTGTTGGATACATTCATTGCCTTGAGGTATTTAGATCAACAATAAAGGTGGCATAAAAACAAAACAAGTAAATAAAAAGCTGCAAATCCACTCTCCCATAGCAACAAATACTTACTCCCTTCCTGAGCTCTTACAGGGAGAAGGACCCTTTCCCGTGTAGATGGATTCCACCACTGAGCCCAGTTTAGCATCACCCTGTGTTCCCTGTTATGAGTTCTGTCTTGAGTGCAATTCAGAAAGGAATCCAAAGAAGTAACATCGATACAGTCTGCTTCTTTTCTCCAAGATCTAGAACCGATAATTAAGCATTTCCTTGAAACCAGGATTCTTTTGGATTCTTTCCAAAACGTCTTACCAAACCATGACCCTTCAAACAACAAAATGAGCCCGTATTCATCAGATTTATATACCCATCAGATTTACCCTGACCAGTAGCTCACCAACAAATGAAGGCAAATATACGCGTCCCATGATAATCTTGCAGGATCCAATCTGGGTCAGTCACTGGGACCGGAGGTTTAGTCTTCTAGCTTTCGGATTCGTGCTGGAGCCCATCTTCAGGGAACTTCTCTCATATCAGAATGTGTGCTTTGGGCTATTCTACTTGTAGTATTTATGTGGTGTCTGGTTGTGTGTCGTAGTATCTCCCACCTCCAAACAAAAGATCACTTGGAGGTGCATTGCTAAGATCGTTGGAGGTGGGAGAAACTGCCAATGTAATCTACCAGATCCCCTGCATGGATTGCCCCTGTGACTATGTAGGACAGACAGGGAGGAAGCTAACCACCAGATTGCAAGAACACAAGCGAGCGGTCAGAAGAGGAGACCTAAACTCATTAGTAGCCTCACACTGCAACGAACAATAACACACTGTATTTTTCGGACTATAAGACGCACCGACCTTTTTGGGGGAAGAAAACAAGAAAAAAAAATCTGCCTCCCAGCAATTTGCCTCCTTTCAGCTTCAGCTTCAGCACAGCCTGATTAGTACAAGCAGCTGATTGTCGGTTGGATCGGCCTCCCAAAGATCAGTTGTTTCAGGCTGCAGGGATTGCCATAGCCTATTGCCACCTCTGCGCACCACATTTTCCGGTGGGTAGGTGGAGCTACATTCAGTGTATAAGACGCACCCAAATTTTCACCCTCTTTTGGGGGTGGGGAGTGCATCTTATACTCCCAAAAATATGGTATGTTCAGTTTCGCAACTACTAAGATTGTTGGCTGAGTAGGTACAAAAATAGCCAGGGAAATGATTGAAGCCTGGGAAATGGGGCCCTTGTCAGTCAACAGGAGTGCTGATTTACCACCAGCTTATCAGATATACTTAGAATCAGGAAACAACAGCCAACGACTTAATAATTGGCCATCAATATCCCAATCAACAACTAAATAGCCACACAACCAGGCATCACATAAATACTACACAGCTCAAAACACACATTTTGGTGAGAGAGAAGTTCCCTAAGGATGGGCTCATGCTAGAGTCCAAAATCTCAGAAGGCTAAATCTCTGGTTCCAGTAACCGACCCAGATTGGATCCCGCAACAGCTCACCAATCTCACTTTTCCCACACCATAAAAAGGTGGGCAAGGAGAAAACAGGAGCTCATCTTTGTTTGCCTCACGTGCTGGGAGTTCGGTTCATCCCAGGGTTGTTCCTCACCTGTGACTGAACTGAAGATGCATTACCTGCAACAGGCTGTGTTCGTTTCCTGTCTTTGGAAGGTGCCTGAATAAATATTTTCTACCTCATGCACCAAGTCTATCATTTCTTTCTCTGTTTCAGGAAGAACATCTTCATCTTGTAGCACACTCACCTACAGAGTCAAAACAAAACTTTAGTTTGTTTCTTTTCCATCCAATAGAGACAGACATTTTATAGCTTCCTTTCAATTAAATTTTGAACAAGGTGAAGGACAACATTATAAGGGAAGTGCTGCCATCCCTTACGTAAGAAAATGTCAGTGCAGCTGAATTTCCACTTCAGCTGTTAACACTGGAACCCATTTACATTCTGACCATTTCTGAGATTTGAGTAAAAATTAACAATCTGAAGAGCAGAGGTCTTCAAACTTGGCAGACTTGTGGACTTCAGCTCCCAGAATTCTCCAGCCAGCATAGCATAGCATCTCCAGCAGAATACATGGGGAAAAACACAATTAATTGAAATCATTTCATGGTCAAAGATTCTTACTTAAACTTACCAAAAAGTCCCGGACATGGTAATCTGTTGTGTAGAAACATATTTTGTGCAGTTGCTGCTTCACACTGAAGCCCTGCCAAAAGGAAAAAGAAATTCTCCTACAGGAGTGTTTGCAAAAAACAAAAATCATAAGGAAAAGTCTTGCCCTAGTTCTCTGCACTGGCGTGAAAGGACCCAGGGCCTTGGCTATGGCCTTTCGTTGTCAGTAAACAGTGGCTCAAAAAGACAGAAATGTCCCTGGGGATTATGGATCACCCTTTCCCATTCAAACCCTTGCCCAGAGGAACAAGAGAGAAATATGTTATGCTCAGGGTGCAGAGATACAAAATCCATGTACATGAAAATATTCTACAGCAAAGATTTTAGATGGAGCTCAGTGGGGTTGTGGTGTTACTCACCATGTTCCTTAAAAGTTTGGAAGCTTCATTGATGTCATCCTTCAGGAGGCTTTTGTAGGCCATCTCCAGACCTATCTGGGTTAGCTGCCCAAGATCCTGGGCAGGGTTGTGAGTCAGACGGAAAAAGATTTGTGCCTCTGGCACTCTGTTGCTTAGAAGGGCTTCAGTAACAGCTCGCTGGGAAATAAAACGATGAGCAATTTCAAGATACCCCCCCTCTACCCACCCCGAGTTTTGCATTCTGTTTTGAAAGGTTGAGGAGAGGCAAGGGAAGTGGAGTAGCACAGAGGAACGCTGGATCAAAGCAAAGGAGCGCAAACCAATTGAAGCCAAGTCCATCCTTACAACTTGAAAAGAGCTGATCAGGGCAATGTTCCATTAGGTCTAGAGATGAGCAGCAGTTCTGCTCAGCGGCACACTGGTGTGTGTGTGTGTGTGTGTGTGTGTGTGTGTGTGTGTGTGTGTGTGTTCCAAAATGCTTGAGAGTTACTAGCTGATCTGATAGTCAAACTAAGCAGGGGTGAAATGCTCCCAGTTTGGACCAGCTCGGGTGAGTAGATAGCGATGGCGGTGGGCAGTTCGGAGAACCGGTAACAAAAATCCCTGCCCCCGCCCCCCATGCCCAGCTGAGCTGCGCGATCATCAGAGCCTTTTTTTCTTTTAAATGGCTCTGACGATCCCAGCTGAGTTGACTGCTAATCAGGCAACTCAGCTGGGATTGTCAGAGCCTTTTGAAAGCATTTTTTACATGGTTTTAAATGTAAAAAATGGTTTTTTAAAAAAAATTGGCCACGCCCACCATCACATTAACCACCACCCTGCCCATCAAGCCACACCCACAGAACCGATAGTAACCAATTTTAGATTTCACCCCTGAAACTAAGCCTATCTAACTAAGCCAAACTAAGCACAGAGGCTAACAGACCTAAAAGTCTTCCTAAAAAGACCACAAGTCTGTATTCAGCAGCCGAGCGACTCCATAGAAGCTACTGAACCAGTCAGATTAAAGAGAAGCCATTAACCAGCCTCTCCTCTGTAAAACTGCTGCCACCATTTTTAAAAATGTTTAAGCTGATGACCATGGAGACATTTACCCTGGCCGTCAATTCCATGAAGTGGTCCAGGTTGGTGTAGAAAGCCCTTCCTTTGCCCCTGCCCCTCTGCCACGCCTTCCATTTCAGGGAAGGTCTCCAAGTTTAGTTCTGTTGAAGGGGGAAGACCACCCAGCCTAGGAAGCCAGAGGGCTTCCTGTATTCTTTTCCAGCTTAATTACCAGTATATCCCTTTACGAGACAATGCCCGGCACAGATTTACCTTTCCAAATGACTTTAGCCCGACCAGGATATTTTCATAGCCATATCATCTCTCTCTCACACACCCCCAAAATGCTCTCTTGGTAAAATAATTACATCCCCACTTTGTTCCTTCACACTGAAATCAATTACTTTCAAGGGCTGAACTTGGGAGTAGGCTCCATACACGGCTCCAATTTGCTAGGCATGTGTGTAATGAGGAAATTGCTTAATAAATTGAGATCATGGGCGAAATATATACTGATATTTAAGCTACATTCCGCTTACCTCTGTATCAAATTTTTCCCAGTGGCTTTGGTCCATTTGGGGTAGGTTGTCTTCAGAATCCCAGGGCTGCCTTATGACACCGGATGTCTTATGAGGAAACCTGATCATAAATGTCCTGAGTTTAATGATGTAGCTGGTGAAAATGTCAACACACTGGAGCATATTTTCATCCAATTCTGTGAAGAGCACCAGGAAGACAATCACGTAAAGCTACCAAAAGGGCTGCTTGGGGAGAATGGCAACGACAGAGGTTGCAGAGTTATCCACAAAGCCACTGCACCACCCGCTTTGAGAGGATCTGGGCTGCTGGCAGCCGTTAGTCAGGAGGGACGGGACCCTTGTCCTGCTTCTTGGCTAGCAGAGAAGGAGTCATGTCAGCTCCGTGGAGAGGGGAGGGGGCAGCAAGCTCTCCTTCTCAGAGGCCCTGAGGGTTCAGATAACCCCAGACCTGCAGCAGCTTCCCATTTTGGGGAAAGGGAATACAGGAGGGGTGTAACTACAGATGGTGTGAAAGAAACTAACCTGAATTCTTGTCAGTCTGGCTTGAGGCCTACTGCTAACACTGAGGCAACCTTATTGGTGCTGGCTGAGGAGAGAGGGAAACCTGCAGGACTGATTCTACTGAATTTCTCAACTTTCATCCCAACGATCATAAGATACTTGTAGAACTCATACATTATGCTAGGTAGTTCATTCCTATCTTTAGGATTGCTACTCAAAGCTGTCAAGAGGAGAAATTTTGCTTTGCCTTTGAGGTTGGGGCTACAGAGTCTCCCAGGGCTCCATTTTCTCTGTTCTTCAGTATCAACATGAATATTCTGGAGGAAATAATCTCCAACTCAGCCAGACAGTTGCTAAATGAAGTAACTCTAGAAGTCAGAGGTTGTTTTTTTTTAAAAAAACAGACTTCTAAAAAAGCATTTTGTGTAGACCTGATAGAGTAATTGCAGGTTTGCAACACTGTACTGTACTGTACTACTCTGAATTTTGTTTGTTATGCAGGGAGGCAGAGGTCGACCCCGAGGCGCCTTGTTTGTGGGGTGCCGCAGGGGTCGGTCCTCTCGCCCCTTCTGTTCAACATTTATGTGAAGCCGCTGGGCGAGATCATCCGTGGCTTTGGGGTGGAGTTCCATCAGTATGCTGATGATACTCAGCTGTACATCTCCACCCCAGGCCACCCCAACGATGCCCTTGAAGTGATGTCCCGGTTCCTGGAGGCCGTGCGGACCTGGATGGGTAGTAACAGGCTTCGACTCAACCCTTCCAAGACTGAATGGCTGTGGCTTCCGGCATCCCGATATAGCCAGCTGGTGCCATCGCTGGCTATTGGGGGCGAGTTATTGGCCCCCACGGATGCATGGCTGTCTTTAGAAGAGCATATGATGGCCGTGGCCAGGGGGGCTTTTTATCAGGTCCGCCTGATTCGCCAGTTGCGTCCCTTTCTGGATCGGGATTCCTTACGCACAGTCACTCAGGCGCTCGTCACTTCCCGCCTGGACTACTGCAATGCTCTCTACATGGGGCTCCCCTTGAGGAGCACCCGGAGGCTCCAACTGGTGCAGAATGCGGCCGTGCGGGGGATTATGGGAGCGAGGGGGCGCTCCCATGTGACGCCTCTCCTGCGTGAGCTGCATTGGCTTCCAGTGGTCTTCCGGGTACGCTTCAAGGTGTTGGTTACCACCTTTAAAGCGCTCCATGGCATAGGACCCGGGTATTTGTGGGACCGCCTTCTGCCACCGATAGCCTCCCACCGACCAGTACGCTCCCACAGAGAGGGACTCCTCAGGGTGCCGTCAGCCAGGCAATGTCGGCTGGTGACCCCCAGGGGGAGGGCCTTCTCTGTGGCAGCTCCCGCCCTCTGGAATGATTTGCCCCCAGAGATACAAAGGTTATTGGATCTCCGGGTTTTTCGCCGTGCCCTAAAAACTTTTCTTTTCCATCAAGCAGGGCTGGCATGAACCCCCCCCTTTTTTTTTTTTTTAGTTTTTTAGCTTTTTAAATTGTCAAAGGAGTTTTAGTTTTCAATGTTTTAAATTTTGGGGCCACAGTTATTCAATTCTTTTAATAATTTTAAATTTTGTATTGATATGTGTTTTAGTTCTGGCTGTGCACCGCCCTGAGTCCACTTGGAGAAGGGCAGGATATAAATTGAATTAATTAATTAATTAATTAATTAATTAAATAAATAAATAAAATGGACAATAATAGTAATAACTCGTAGAAAAAACGTACTGTGTTTCCCCGAAAATAAGACATGCCTGGATAATAAGGCCAAATGGGCTTTTCAGCGCATGTGATAATATAAGCCACCCCCATAAAATAAGCCCCCACACCAACTACTTACATGCATGCGCAGCCGGTCCCACCATTTTCTCTGGTTGCTTGCAACACAACCGAAATGAGTTGAGGAGGTGATGCCGGCGGGGGTGACATGTCCTCCCCTCCCTGTTCTTAGCGCCAGCCGAGCAGCCCAACATCAATGGCAACAGCAGCCTGGCGGCTTCCCTTCCCCTCTGTCTCTTTCTCGAAAACCTTCTCACAAAGTTTTCTTTTACAGTGTGTTTCCCTGGACACAACAGCGAAGAAAGCGACAGAGCTGGAAAGGTAGGACGCACATCCCGCTTTTCACCCACCCTACCTGCCACCCCCAAATTGCATCCCTAAAGGGGGTGGGTGGCTAAGCGAGGGGCAGGAGCCCTGCCATGCCCAGTGAGGTGGGAAGAAGAGACAGCAAGGGGAGCCATGTCTCACTCCACGCGTCTCACTTCTCTCTGGCCCCACCTGCCACCCCTCTCAATAAAGAGGCAGCGGGGAAGGGAAGCAACTGTTGCCATTAGGGTGGGGACTTGTTGAGCTGCTCGGCCGGCACCAAGAACAGGGAGGGGAGGTGATGGCAGGAATGGAACATCCAGTCCCACGCTCGCTGCCTCCTGCACCCCCAAAATAATAAGACCCCCTGATAATAAGGCCAAGCCCTTATTTTGGGGGGGGGGGTGTCAAAAGAAAATAAGACCCTGTCTTATTTTCGGGGAAACATGGTATTTCCAAATAAAGCAGGAACAAGTGACCTTTCAAATGGCTGGCACTATCAACTAATTTATACAATGTCACCGGAATCCATCCATCTATTTTAAACAATTGAAATATAAAACCTTTTAATAAATTATACATGACTGAAATCAGGGAAAATCATGATGATCCTGCAAGATTTCAGCCAGCCAATAAGTAAAATACTGTAATAGATAAAAAGTGAGAATTAACAGTACTCCTCGACTTACAACCACAACTGAGCCCAAAATTTCCAGTGCTACGAAGTGAGGAAGTTTTTAAGTGAGTTGCACTTCATTTTATAACTATTTTTGCCAGATGTTAAGCGAATCACTGGAGTTGTTAGGTGAACCATGTGGTCATCAGACAAATCTTAATTACGCAAATGGCTTCTCGCATTGACTTTGCTTATCAGTTGCAAATGGTGACCACCTGAACCCTGGACACGGTAATTGTCGAAAGTACATGCCAGTTGCCAAGTGCCTGAATTTTTATCATGTGACCAGGGTGATGCTGCAATGGTCATAAGTGTGAAAACTGATCATGTTACGTTTTTCAATATTATTGTAACTTATAATGATTGTAAGTCAAGGGCTACCTGTATTGCACAGCCCCGTAAGATATCTTTAGATGCTTTATAGACACTTAATACCCACCGAGTAAGTGGGTATTAAGGCTGATCCCGAATGCTGCCTTGTTTTTGGCTTTCTTCCCCTCATTTAAGGAGCACAAAATTTGTAAAACCCATTCCAGAAATAGAAATTTTGTTGTTACGTGATGGCACAGAGAATACCAATTCAAGTAAAATAGATACATAATACCGACTCTACCTTCTCTGTGGGTAAAAATCTCACGGAGTTGTTTGTTAAGAAAAGATAAGGTGAGGTTCAACAGCTGCTCAGAGAAATGCTTGCTCTGGGTTTCCACATCATTTTCGTGAATTGCCTTACAAAGTAAATCCAATGCTGGCCTCAGTTCTTCAACGCCTGTAGGAGAAAAGGGTAAAACCAAGAAAAATGGGAACATCGCATTAAGAAATGCACAAGTTTGCATTTGCTTTCAAAGTGATGTCAGAGTGATATACGCAATTCATTCCGTTAAGCTGAAGACCCATGGGCCTCTGATTCGCAAGAACCGGCCCTGACCCTCTCTCTCTGCCTTCAATGCAGTTTACTTTGCATTCAGTCAAGTGAGACTTCTTTTGTATTTATACTGCAATTCATAAAATATCAGTGTGAACATTCAGATTTTACTTACTCTTCAAGTAAAAATCTGATATATTTGCAGGCTGATCTTGTATAGAGCTTGCTGCAGACAGACTGAAAAGGTTCTCTTTATTCTTTAGGAAAAAATCCACGGTGTCCAACTGTCGGTTCTCTAAGCCAGCCTAAATATAAAAAATATAATTTTTATAGAGATCAACCACCAATACTTTGATCTCTCTCTTTATTAGCACCTGGCCTGAGTGTCCAAGGGAGCATCAAGCCACGGATTGTGCTTCTCACTTCCTGAGCTCTCTTCTCAGAGATCTGGCTGTCACAACATCAAGACAAACCTTTGTCCAACCACACAGGAATTTTTTCTGGAGAAGTTGAGCTCTAGCTCTTTCTCTGCTTACAAATTCGTTAACATGAATGTGATCTATTCTAAGTAATATATTTGATCTGTATGTAATATATTTGAGTACACCAAAATAAGTGCTGGATGATATGTTAATTACAGCTTAGTTTTACATAGATTTGTAACTAACAATGACTGTAACCAAGGAACAGTCAATATTTCTTTGTAATATAGAGCAAAGGATCAGTTGTTTATACAGTGGGGCAAAAAAGTATTTAGTCAGCCACCAATTGTGCAAGTTCTCCCACTTAAAAAGATGAGAGAGGCCTGTAATTGTCATCGTAGGTAGACCTCAACTATGAGAGACAAAATGAGAAAACAAATCCAGACAATCACATTGTCTGATTTGGAAAGAATTTATTTGCAAATTATGGTGGAAAATAAGTATTTGGTCAATATCAAAAGTTCATCTCAATACTTCGTTATATATCCTTTGTTGGCAACGACAGAGGTCAAACGTTTTCTGTAGGTCTTCACAAGGTTGGCACACACTGTTGCTGGTATGTTGGCCCATTCCTCCATGCAGATCTCCTCTAGAGCAGCGATGTTTTGGGGCTGTCGCTGGGCAACACAGACTTTCAACTCCCTCCAAAGGTTTTCTATGGGGTTGAGATCTGGAGACTGGCTAGGCCACTCCAGGACCTTGAAATGCTTCTTACGAAGCCACTCCTTCGTTGCCCGGGCGGTGTGTTTGGGATCATTGTCATGCTGAAAGACCCAGCCACGTTTCATCTTCAATGCCCTTGCTGATGGAAGGACGTTTGCACTCAAAATCTCATGATACATGGCCCCATTCATTCTTTCCTGTACACGGATCAGTCGTCCTGGTCCCTTTGCAGAGAAACAGCCCCAAAGCATGATGTTGCCACCCCCATGCTTCACAGTAGGTATGGTGTTCTTTGGATGCAACTCAGCATTCTCTCTCCTCCAAACATGACGAGTTGTGTTTCTACCAAACAGTTCTACTTTGGTTTCATCTGACCATATGACATTCTCCCAATCCTCTTCTGGATCATCCAAATGCTGTCTAGCAAACTTCAGACGGCCCCGGACGTGTACTGGCTTAAGCAGGGGGACACGTCTCGCGCTGCAGGATCTGAGTCCTTGGCGGCATAGTGTGTTACTGATGGTAGCCTTTGTTACGTTGGTCCCAGCTCTCTGCAGGTCATTCACTAGGTCCCCCCGTGTGGTTCTGGGATTTTTGCTCACCGTTCTTGTGATCCCACAGGGCGAGATCTTGCGTGAAGCCCCAGATCGAGAGAGATTATCAGTGGTCTTGTATGTCTTCCATTTTCTAATTATTGCTCCCACAGTTGATTTCTTCACACCAAGCTGCTTTCCTATTGCAGATTCAGTCTTCCCAGCCTGGTGCAGGTCTACAATTTTGTTTCTGGTGTCCTTCGACAGCTCTTTGGTCTTCACACCATAGTGGAGTTTGGAGTGTGACTGTTTGAGGTTGTGGACAGGTGTTTTTTATACTGATAACAAGTTCAAACAGGTGCCATTAATACAGGTAATGAGTGGAGGACAGAAGAGCCTTTTAAAGAAGAAGTTACAGGTCTGTGAGAGCCATAAATCTTGCTTGTTTGTAGGTGACCAAATACTTATTTTCCACCATAATTTGCAAATAAATTCTTTCCAAATCAGACAATGTGATTGTCTGGATTTGGTTTCTCATTTTGTCTCTCATAGTTGATACTCCTATGATGACAATTACAGGCCTCTCATCTTTTTAAGTGGGAGAACTTGCACAATTGGTGGCTGACTAAATACTTTTTTGCCCCACTATATAAGATTCAGGATTCCTTAAAGATAATAAATGAGGGATGAAATATGCAGATGGCACTAAAATACAAATGGTAATACTTAAAAAAAACCACAACGACCTTCACAATATGAAGAATTGTGCCAGAATTAGCCAAGTCAGTTGCTTGTCTTGTCAGCAGAAGATCTTGCGTCTCCGCTGGTTGAGTACCAGAACCATTTAAAGTAGAGCAAAAAGTGTGGGGAATCAATATTTCTGCTCTAGAATGGATGCCCAGGGCCTCACAGCTTCATAGGCACCCAGGGAAAGAGTTGGGGTTGTCCAGAAAACCCTCAGCGATAGAAAGACGCTGCTACCCACAACCCTGGAAACAAGAATGGCCCAGGCTTCTTTCCTTACCTCTAAGGCATGTACAGGAATCGAACACCTTCCCCACCTATTGAGGCGGCAAAGGGAATCTACAGTGCTAGCACTTCCATAGATGATCAGTCTGTTCAAGAATTCCTCTTGGGTAAAGCCAAACAGGAGCAAGAAGAGGCCAGTCTCTAAGGATTATCACAAAGGAGAGAGGTTATTTCCATATTGCTCACTGTCTACAGAAAAGATGTTCTAGTGACTTGAACACAGCTCCTTCCTAATGTCAAGAAGAGAAAACAACTTCAACTCTGAAATTTTCTACAGGGAAAATATTCATCTGCAATTAAAATCAAAGATGCTCACCTGAAAGGACGAGCCATAGTGGTTCCTCCCTGGTATATTCCACAAAAAAAGAGTTTTCCCCCACACAAGACTGTGTGATGTCCTGCGTCACCAAATCCCACAGGACAAGAGTCAGCCCTTCACTTTCACTTGAGACAGTGAACAGCACGTGGAAACCAGTCACATGTTTGCACTCAAGATTCCCACGTTCTTCTAGGTCACCTAAAGGTATACTCTTCCAGCGCCTGTCTTCAGGGCCCTCATTCTCTTTCCCTCTGGAGCTTGAAAGAACAAATGCAACCTCTTGAAAGAGGGACGCTTCAGAAGTGTCCAAAGTCTTAGAGTTAAGAGATTCTAAGTGCAGAAGATGCTGATACCAAGGCAACTCAACATCTGTACACAAATGTGGAAAATAATTGTGTGGGTGTGTATCATTCAAAGATAGTGTGTGTGTCTTCCAGGATCTGGAAAAAAAAGGGGGAAATCTTAACATTTTCAATGATACATAAAATGAAGATGTAAGAATTACACTTTTCAATGAAACAACTCTTCTCGTTACTATAAAAGTACCTTTTGCCAACTAACCTGTCAGTCTGAAATGAAGGTTGCAAGAACTTCATGCTGTAACTTGAACTATTGAGGTCATCTTCACCCACCCCCTCCAACTGTTGTGCAGGAAGATTTTCAAAGCTTTGCTTGCAAAACAAATGGTCAGGGTATTCTCTGGGGGGATTAAACAAATTAAACAGATTAACAGAGTTGGAAGGCACTTTGTAGATCTTCTAAGTCTAACCCCCAACATCATTTCTGACAGATGGCTATCCAGTCTCTTCTTGAAAGCCTCCAGTGATGAAGCTCCCACAACTTCCGAAGGCAACTTCTGTTCCACGGGTTGATGGTTCTCACTGTCAGAAAATTTATCCTTATTTCCAGATTGAATCTCTCCTTGGTCAGTTTCCATCCATTAGTCCTTGTCTGGCCTTCAGGTGCCTTGGAAAACAGGTTGACCTCCTCTCTGTGGCAGCCCCTCAGATATTCGAACACTGCTATCTATCTCCCCTGGTCCTTCTCTTCACTAGACTAGCCATGCCCAGTTCCTGCAATCGTCCTTCATGTGTTTTAGTCTCCAGTCCCCTAATCATCTTTGTAAATAGATAGATAGATCTCAAATAAACAAATGAATCCATAATACTTTTTCATTGAGGAAAATGATCCAAAACTATAGATTTGTCTATGGCCAAAGCATGGAAGCCTAAGATTCTCAGTTCATTAGACGGGAATTGAGTCAGGCATTTTAAACAATAGGTGAAAATCAGATATGAGTGTAAGAGATCCCGTCTTATTTAAAGAACAAATTGTGGGTATTCACTATCAAAGTCTGAGCTTCACAACGCAGGTATTTCAATGGGGAAGCCAGCAGGTCCTCACAAATGGCAACCAAGTGATCTCAACAATCCATGGTGCTGTGTTTAATGACAGCAGTCAGGAGTGCCAAAATTGCTGTTGCTAAGTGGCATGTCACCTGGTGTTGTATTTTATGACCCCATTGCTTAGCTACATCATTAACTAAGAGCCACTTGTATTAGTGCTTCCTGCTCTTGTCTATCTAGTAAGGCTGATATAACCCGAAGAAAGAAAAGCACCATGGGTTTGTAATGTATGTATAGAGGTTTAACCATGATTCTGTGTGAACTGCTAGAGGAGTTCAGTTATTGAGCGCTACAAAAATGCAATTAGAAAGACTTCTAACTAGCCTTTTCTCTGGAAAAGCCTGGAATCCTGCGCCCAAGGCAGCTATGAAATATTTACTTCTTATGAGCAGGAAGACTTTTTAAATTTCCAAATATTCATGCATTATCTTATCACAGGTGAGTTCTGCTGCTGTTGACGTGGGGGTTTTTTGTAGGTAGGGGTTACTGATTTATCCTTGCGCATGGGGAATGATATGTGTGGCTTTCATGCTCTTAATCCTTATAAACCACTCAGAATCACTCAAGTGAGATGAATCTGTTGAAATGGCCATATAAATCAGCTACATAAACAAATGTTATGCTGGAAATCAGGCAGCCTTTGAGAAACAGCCTTCAATCATTTCAGTCCACCTACCTGAAGTACAAGTTGAGGTCAACAGCAGCCACACAACTGGAGCGGCCAACAACCACAGCCACACTGAGATCATGTGATATACTTAGTTGCACAAGAGGAAATGGCATGTCCTGGTTTTTCTCTTCTTGCCCCCGTGACTGATAGAGAGGGACACTGATGTGGGCCAAATAGGCACCATCGGTAGCACCAAATATATCTTTGTAAAAAGTTAAAGAATTTCAAAGGCTGTTGAAATAACAGGACAAAAAGAAACATACCCTTCAAAGAGCATTCCTGCTTCAGATGAAGCCTCATTAGGCAAGGTCATCTTATTTTACAATAAATATGTACAGGAAATCGAGTAAGCTATAAATTCAATAGAACTTGCTGCCAGGAAAATACTACTATTCTTTAAAAATCAATCTTTTTATGTTCTGTGAAGGGAAACCAGGATGCAGCAGTTAAAGATCAATGCCAGGGTTCAATGCCAGACAAATGACAGAATTCCAATCTAGGGAAAAAGGACACAACCTCCACCATAAATCTAATTATAACAAGAAATACTCTTTTTTTAACTTCTTAAGTCAAGTCTTTTAACAATTGCTGAAATAACTCTCTGTCCCTGCTTTCAGTGGAAACATATTAGTGCTCTATTTTTCAAGTCAATGAAGATGTATAATTAGCATGCACCATCTCCCACCTGGAAAATGAATGCAAGGATTTCAGACATTTAACTCTTCATGATTATCTATATGCCACTGATGAGTCTCAAGAGGGAAAATCATTTGTTTATATTGGTAATCCACTCTTTTAGAGTGGATTCTTGAAGGCTCTTGAAGAGTCTTGAAGGCTCTTCAAGTCAAGGAAGGGCCCCAGAACAGAAGTTGTTGCATAGATACAAGAGCAGTGTGGCTGGGTCAGCCCAGAAGCAAACAGTAACCTAAAGCAGGGATGGGCACCTCACAGATTGCAAATCATGGGGTATATATAGTCCCCATCAGCCCTTCTCTGTCCTCCTCACCCACCCTGCAAGAACCCTTCGATCAACAGGGTACTTTTTGCCTTTTTCACAGTAAAGCTGGGAATTAATGTGCTAAATCTCCAGTAGGTCAATTTTCATTCTTAGATTTCAGCGTTACCCAATCTGGGATATGGCCAAACAATCCTTGGAAGCCCACCCAACACCAGCTTTATATTAAAGGATACGTATCCATCCAGTCTCATCCAACAAGAAGAGGATACCTCTGCAGAAAGTAACATTCACTATCCTTTCCAAAGTTTGTGGGGGCAAATCAAGTCTAAAGCAGCTTTCCACCTCTTCCCCCAGTTCTCCTCCAGGAAAAATCAGATGTGCAATCACAAAATTGTTGAGCAACAGGATAGCTCTGCCATTTTTAAATGACAGCACTTGCAAGGAGGAAATAGATAGTAAGCCTGTAAAAGAGGACATAAGGAATATTTCATATTTTGTAAAGGAGAAATAACATGCAGAGAAACACTGGTATAAAAAAGCACATTCAACTAGATTGTTAACCCAGCACTTGGGAGAATTTCCATCTTCACGAATAATTATGGGTTTTTTGCAGTCCCATGGACCTCTCCAATTTCCAAAATTTGGTAACATACAGTAGTTTCCTGCAATTTCGAGACAAATACTAAAAAACTATCAATCTATCTCAATTCCTATAATAGTTGTTTATATTTTACCACATTTTGTTTACTATTGTTGAATGTTTTATATGTAAAACTATGTAAGCCATTATGAGTCCAACTCAGCATAGAAATAATCACCCACACTAAGTGTTCCACTATCAAAGAAACCCAACCTCCTACAAGAGAAGCTGTGTAGGAACATTATTTGGATGAGCACAAATACACGGCTGCTACACAAGAACAACAAAAAAAGGAAAGACCACCAAAGTGATGGCTAACCTTTTCAGGACCAAGTGCCCAAAGCGTGCCCGAAACCCCCAAAATGCAATACCCCCCTGGCCCCCCAAATGTGCCCCGCGCATGCACCTGCACGCGGCTCCCCGCAAGCACCATGCATCCCGCACATGCATGGCAGAGACCCAAAGACCAGCTGGCTGGTGGGAGGTGCATGCACATGGATAGCTGAGCTGAACTGGGGCGACGGCTCATGTGCCCACAGAGAGGGTGCTGAGTGCCACCTCTGGCATGAGTGCCATACGTTGGGCATCACAGACCTATATAAAATCTTCCAGCGAAATGGATACCCACGTAATTTTATCAAAGTGCCTGACCACTCAACCCAAGATAGCAAAAAGATAGCACTGCCATACATCAGAAACATCTCAGAAAAAAACATAACAGATTATTAAAACCACACGGCATCACCGTAGCACACAAATCAACTAAAACCGTCCAAAGTGAATCCCAGGACCCAGCAGCCCCAGAAAAAGAAATATATAGGAGTCATCTGCAACATACAGTGTAAACAGGTCCTCTCCACCACTCCACACCCAGATAAGCAGGAATTAACCCCAGGCAGAAAACGATACCCTAATCAAGGAAATACGGAGGAGAAAACCGCACCCCCATCCACACTGGAAGGGCAAGTGTTGGGCGTGACCTTGGGAAGAATCAGACAAAGGTAAAAGTTTGTGCTTTCAGACTTGCAAGATCCTAAGGTGGCAGAACAAACAATAAAGCAGAATTAACTCATCAGCTGGAAGCAGCATCATTTCCATCTTACCTGGATTCAGATTCAATGCATTCTCTCCCCTTATCACATTAGCGACCCCAGGGAGGCACAGGGGGAGAACCGGAGGATGTTATTACACCAAGAAGCCCAGAGGTTTGGATGGGAATTGGTGGGGCCTCTTTAGTAACCTCCGGGCAAGCAGAGCGGGCGTTTCTCCATCAAAGCCCAACGCCCATCCCCGGGAGCTCCCGTGCTCAGGAAGGGCCGTCCTGCAGCAGCAGCAGCAGCTGAAAAGCAGCCAAGACCTGGAACTTCTGCAACCCCGCGAGGCCTTTGTGACGTTTCCTGACTGGACAGAGCTCAAGCTCAGCTGGGCAGTTGCTGGGCAGCCAGGCCGGGAGGTCCAGCAGCGCCCTCCCCCCCCCCCCCCCCCCCCCGGAAGAAGCCCCGAGGCAGCCCCGCCCCCGCCCCCCCCTCGGGGCGCCCCTGCGAGGACAGACTCGCCTGCCTTCCGGGGGGCCAGCAGGGCCCGCAGCCGCTCTTCGGGGAGGCTGCGCAGGAGGGCGGCGCCCCACTTCCCAGGCTCCGAAGCCACTTCGTAGAGGAAAAGCGCCCGGCTCTGGGCCACGGCCAGCAGCTGCACGACGCCCCCCGCCGGATCCTCCGCCTCGCCGCTGCCCCACACGAAGCTGCCAGAGCGCCAGCGCCGCCCGGTCAGGGGGGCCGCCCCCCCCCCCCCCCCCCCCCCCCCGAGCGCAGCCCCTCCGCCTCCCGCAGGCCCCGCTTACTCTTCCCAGGCGCCCGGCAGAGAGACGCCCGACAGCCGCGCCGAGGGCAGCCCCGACAGACGCAGCTCGGCCGGCCCGGCCACGGCCAGCGCTCCCCGCCCGCGGCTGAGCTTGGCCCGCAGGGGGCCGGCGGGGGGCTCCGCAGGCGGCGGCGGCAGCAGCAACACCCGCAGCGCCTCCGCCATCCCGGCCCAGCTGCCGGACGCGCCAGGCCTGCCGGGCGTTGTAGTCCCCCGCCACTTCCGGCCCCGCGCCCCACCGCGCAGCCGCCGCCCCGCCCCCGCCGGAAGCGTGCGCGCCGACTTCCGCCCGCCTTGCATGGAGGCCCCTCTGCCGCCCGCGGCCGGCCTGCCGAGGGAGCCCCGGGGCGGCGATGCTGGCGCTGGGGCTGCTGTGGCGGGCGCTCGGTAGCGCGGGCTATGCGGACGCGGCGGCTGGGCGCGGGGGCGAGAGCGGGCGGGCCGCCGCCATGGCGCAGGAGCGGGCGCTGGAGGTCTACGGTGGGCGCCGCGGAGGGGCCGGGGAGGGGGCCGGCCGGTGGGGGGTCTGGGCCGTTCCGCCCCGCTGAGCCGCCGCCTCTTCTTTGCCCCGCGCAGATCTCATCCGCACCATCCGCGACCCCGAGAAGCCCAACACGCTGGAGGAGCTGGAGGTGGTGAGCGAGAGCTGCGTGGAGGTGGCCGAGATCGGGCCGGGCGAGAGCCTCATCACCATCCGCTTCACGCCCACCGTCCCCCACTGCTCGCTGGCCACGCTCATCGGTAGGGCCCCCTCGGGCGAAACGGCTCCCTTCTCAGCCTGCCTCGAACCTCGGCCTCCCAGCCACGGGGCGCCGCTTGGAGGCCAAGCCCGTTCACGCTCCTAGAATGATTACGAATGATATCCTTTCTATCATTATTTATTTATTTACATTTCTACAGCCATTTTAAAACAAACCCATCACAAAAATTAAAAACTGTTAAAATAATTAAAGCAATTTGGCGGTTATTAAAACCCTTAACTAAAACCCCCTTAAAACCCATTTAAAACCCATTACCATTCATTTATTCATAATCCGTGGGAAGATTTCTTGCCTCCTGAGACCCTCATTTTAACCAACAAGGCAGCTGGCCAGCACTCTAGCTCAGGGCTCTGGCGTTTGCTCCACGGCCCGCCCTTGTAGGCTCAATTGAGGGGATTGCTAGGGAAATGTTCGCTTCCCCTGTTTGCAGCAAAGCGGGTGCAAGACCCTCGCTGGGTGTAGCCCTCGAGAGAGGCTCTTTCTCACCCAAGGGAAAAGCTTTTCAGTGGGTTGGAAGCAGCTGCTCTTCCGTGTTATTTGCCACCTGAGGAAAAAATGGACTTTGTACAGTTGTTTTTATCTTTTTTTAAATAAAGGAAACCAGGTTCTCCCAAAATGTTTGCTAAGCCAGGATACCAAACGTTAGACCAGACTTTCCCCCGCGTGGCTCTTGTTCAGTGGCTGTTCTGATAATTGAGAGGCAGAGGGTGACTCATGTTTGAAAAGCAAACTGAAGTATTTTTCATGAAAATTTAGGGCTGTGTTTGAGGATCAAACTTCAGCGATGTTTACCTTTCAAGCACAAGGTATGTCGTTTCTGTTTTTCTCTGCGTTGAACTGTGAGATAGATTCTCCTGGAAGACCCTGGTTGATGGCACTACTTGGGCTATGCAAGAATAGCAGGGTGGCAAGCGAGAGCTTGCATGTCCTCATCCGGCAGGAGAGAGGTTGTTTGCAAGAAGGGAGAAATGGAGAGGCCTAAGGTGACTCTAGTCAGATATCACTTGATGCACACTGTAAAGAAGTGATTCCCAGATGGTGGCCTGGGATGGCCATGTAATCATATCCTATCTACCTACCTACCTATCATTATCTATCTACCTATCATCTATATCTATCTATATCTAATTTATTGGCTTACCATAAGGTAACTCTAGGGAGCCACCAGTCAGAAGTTATATATACATTAAAACATAAATTAAAAGCAGGAATTAAAAATCAAGGGCATATGGGAAGGGCAGGAGTGGAATGGGGGAGGTGGGATCTGTTGTTACATGATCAATCACTTCTATTGTGTTGTTCCCCCCCACATTGGGGCCCCAGGTCTTTGGACTTACAAAAGGATAGGAGGGTTGGGGCCAACCTCACTTTGGGGTGCAAGATTTTATTTTATTTTATTAAATTTATTTGACACCTATCACCGTGGGGCTACTGTAGGCAGCATACAACAATAAAACAAATGAAGTATAAATGTAACAGTAGCAAAGTTACTGAACAATAGAATAAATAATGCAACAAACAATGAGAATATGAGAATGGGTGGGTGAGGAAGAAGGGAGTGAAGGGGGAGGTGTGGCACTCTCCCACTGGGTCTCCAATAGTTGGCCTCCGCAGGCCTGCCTGCTTGCATAGAAGAGTCAGCCCCATGCAAGAGGTTGCTGGCTGCTTTAGCCCCACCTTTCCCTGACCCCACAGCCAGGGATCAGTAGCTTCCAACAGGTTTGTTGCAGTGTGCAAGGGGCAATGCACCCATCCTCATGAAGGCATTAGCTTTCACTTGGCTTGTGCTGTGTTGTGCTAAGAAGAATTGTGAATTCACACATATACAACCCGAAATCAGAAATGACTATCAAACAATAGAATTTCACCGCATTTGAAACCCCCAAGCCCTTTAGGATTCAAATTCTTCACCAGCACGTTCTGTCTGTCAAGGATAGTTCTGGCATAGAAGTAAATAAGACAATTCAAGGAGTAAATAAGTAACAGTTTGCATTAATTAGTTTTGAGTTCAAATTTGGTTTAAAAGGGCCTTTAAAAAGGGAAGGAAGTAATTGCATAATTACCATACTCATTCAGATATGCAACCATTATAGTATACATGAAGGCTATTGCTGAGCACATTGTAAGCCGCCCTGAGTCTTCGGAGAAGGGCGGCATATAAATCAAATTAAAAAAAAAAAAAGGAAACCCTTGCTTTTAA